TTCTGCAGGCGATTACTCCAGAGCATCCAGCCATACCAAAATCAATAAACAATTTATACGCAGCCCAGGGAATTTTGCCACATTTAATAAAAGTCTCCAGTCACAGTTATGGCTTCATTTCACCTTAACGTCTTCTTTAACTGTCCCTTCTTTTCAAGATCAATTAGAGGCATGTGCAACGAGAAAAACAAACAAAAACCAGAACCACACACACACAAACAAACCAAAACAGGGAAAAAACTAAAAAGCAAGGTCAAATTGAGCAGCCCTGCTTCTCTTCACCTATGTTTCCCGAGGCAAACATAGAAATTCAGGGACTGACATGTAACACATTGGGACACCTTGTTTACACATGCTCCTTGCAGCCTCTGGTCCTGGGCACAGATCAGCAAGACAGCAGCCTTATTTAGGAGAGCTAGAGTATTTGGTAAGGCAGTTGAGTCTACAAAAGACATCTGTGTTCCCTGCAATTTCAAAGGAAATTTAGCACCTCTGAAAAATTCCAAATACAAAGGGTGAAACTCTACCTATCCTCAAAAGGGACACAGATCAGACACCTTTGAGTAGCTCTTCATCTTGTGCTAGGATGATCCAGTCTCACTGTCCCAGTCATGCTTTGGCTTTTGATGAGACATCCAGAAGACTGCCACTGAATCATCTTCTTTACTCCAGTGAGTTGCAAGAGGAAAGGGGTAATGAACAAGGGTAACTTCCATTAATAGCAATTGGGGAAAAAATAGCTTTTGATCTCTCCTTGACTTTCTGAATTGAGGTGCTAATATTGCTTTGATGTTGTGTATTCACTTTAAAAGTATTAGAAAAGCTGTCCGTGTTTTCTTGGTAACTTGCTTGAAAAAACCTGTCTCTGCACCTGGGATATCTGCACTTGAATAAGACATAAAACAGTCTGGGAGCGCCCAGCCCATTTGCCAGACTTTCAGTCCTTATAAAGCTTATTGAGTTCAATGCTTGCTCAGATTCCAAAGTCTCTGCCCTAGCTAAGCTGAGCCCATCAGCCACCATAGCTGTTGCAGACAAGAACAGCTGAAACAGCCCTTTTCATTGTTTTACAGCTTTTCAGACCCAGGCAGAGTAGGATTCAACACCTTCATGCCCTTGATGCCAGCACTGCCTTTAGGTCCTTAACCAGAAATAGACAGCAGAAACTGGCTGAAATCATTACAACTCCTCAATTCTTCTCACTGCTGCAGGAATCAGCAAGAGATTTGCTTTGCCTTCATGCCATCAGACAAGAAGGAATTACCTGAGAGCAGCCCTGGCAAAGCAACAACTGGGGTGACCGACCTCTTCAGGGAAGACACTGCTGAGCTGCTGCCACTCGATAGCACAGGCCCAGAAAATACTATTCCCACAGGTAACAGTTTGGTCTCTGACACTGCCCTTAGAAAGAGGCGCCTTTTCATTGAAAGCAGCTGTGAAACGCAAATAATGGAGACTGCAGAAAACAGAAGGGCACTTATCACCATGCCACTGTCACCAGTAAAGCACTTCCCCAGCTCAGGCCTCAAACCTGAGATGGATCTATACAGAGCCTGTGTCTCCTCTTGTGCCTCCTTCACCAGAAAGAAAGAACACAAGGAAGGAAGCCTGGGGACAGGCACACACCATTCTCTAGCTGGCTCCCACTGCATTGGTAGGGCCTACACAGAATTAAATGCATGCACACAGTCAGCAGGGCAGTCTGGCTTTCAAAATTAAAAAATCCAAAGAAGGTTGACAATGGGTTAAGATATAAGGTACAAAAAATTGCTCAGCTTTCAACCCAAACCATATTTCTCCATTAACATTTCCAAAATGTGAGCTCCAGTTAGATCTCTATTTAAAACACATCTACCTCTTATCTTGGTTCTTCTTCCTGCCTGCACATACCTTCATACATGTATCTTCCCTAATGACTTCCATTGTGCTTTAGCTAGCATCCTGAGATGCTCTGGCTCTGGTCCTGAAGGTTAAAGAAAACTAATTCAGCAATCAAGAGTTCAGCAGCATCTCTTTTTTGCCATTTCATTTCCCACTGATGTCATAACAGATCATGTATCATCCTGCCCTTCCTCACCTTTACCACTTGTGGCCTACACCCACATCCTTCTCTGCTTGGACAGTATGTTCTCTAAACAGTAAATGCTCCTGTTCAAAGTCTGTAGAGCCTTGGAGGAAGATGGACTTCAATATTGACCAAAACCTTCTAGGGACTATAGGAGTACAGAAAGAAAGGAAAGATTGAATTTACACAGATCCCACAGGTTACAGCAGTAGCTCAGGGCACCTTGGTCCTCAGATTCTTTGAAGTACTGCATTTTCCAGAAGACTACGTGGTCAATTTTCTTTACACAACCCTTTTTGGAGGAGTTTAGAACTCTTTGTCCACCACTGACATGATATCGAGCAGATTTTTCAGCACCCTCACACTAAAATAACCTAAGTTTGGATCAGATGGAGTGAAGCATTTCAAAGAAGGTTATGCAAACCTGCACCTGTTATAGCCTCATAATTTGAAGCCTCCCAGGGAACATTGAGATCACCAATATATTAAAGCACACATCAGAAACTAATAGGGTGTTAAATATTTCCAATTGAGAAGAGCCTACATGTCTGGGAGGAGACATCTCCAGTAAAAAAACTGTGTGCTGCTGCATCACAAGCCTTTGGCAAGACAATTTTCTTACATGCAGTATTTTACAGATTGTTCAAGGCTAAAGAAAATCTATCTTTGTTACTTAAATGCAAAATAGTGATATAGCGCTCAGTGATACCCTGCAACAGAGAATTGGTCATCACCTTGTGCCATGGTGCTGCTGTCTGTGTCAGTGGGTACACAGCAAGAAGCCCTGGAAACTGGGACCTTCAACAGAATGCAGCCACCAGCTACTTGTTTGTTGGTTTGGTTGGGAGTGTTTGGAGGAAGAGGAGGGGTCTAGACAGGATAGACATGGAGACCAAATAATGAATGCCCTAAGTTAGTCACTGCATGGAGCCACTAAAAACTTGAAACAAAAGAATTCAGTCAGAGTGTCACTGGGACAAAGGGACCAGAGGGATGAGATGCCATAAACAATCCACTGGTAGGAATCAGAAGAGAACCTTCTCCTCCACAAACATGTTACTATTAATTTATTACACATTAAGTTTATATCTACCTGGAAAGCACCAGTTAGAAGCAAGGCAATCTCCCAGGCTGTGACAAAGCAAGCTTTCTAATATCCATAATGCCACCAAGACAAACAGAAGGAGCACAGCATTTCCAGAACTGCTCAAGATTCTCACCTGCCCATGAAACCCAGTTTTTGCAAGCACAAGTAAGCTGATGAGTGTTTTTGTTTTCCCTTAATGTCCAAACACTTGGCTATATCCAGGCAAGGTCAGGAAGTGACCATGAGCAATAACAGCCTCTTAACTGCTTTCAGGGACCTGATCCTATGAGGATACAAAAAAAAAATAAATATAGAGGCTTCCTCCTCTTGTATAGACCAAGAATTTCCATATTCAACAGAAAATCTTTCTCGATGCTGAGCAACCAAGAGCCCTTATCTAGGGATGGAAATGGAGACCTAGTAGGATGTATAAATGGAGCTAGATCATGTAGCCGAAGTGGATGACATCCAGTTCATAATGACATGTCATAAACCTGTGCCAGAATATGGGGAAATGGACCAAACGGTTTCCCAAAGGGAAAGAGCCAGAATGGTAAAAGCTGAGTCTAAGCACTGCACTGCATTCCCTGGGTACAAAAGGGAAATAAAGGGGCTACCTGACAAACAAGTCAGTTTTCCCTGATCCCGCTACAGCAGGCAAAGCTGTGATTTTATACAGGAAAAATTGAGCACTAGCAGGGTCTGGAATAGAATGGGTCACAACTCTTCTCCCTGCCAAGACAACAGTCCTAAGGGTCCACCAAAGCACCATATTTGCTTGCCTTACTCTTTCAAGGATCACTTCAGCTGTAGCATTTCATTGGACCCTCCCATCCAATTGGGATTGCCTCCAATAGCTTTAATAAAGAGGAAGAAGTATTTAATACAGGAATACCCTTATGTTATTGCCTTGTCAGAGATGCATGAAGTGCTCCAGGATGCCAAGAGGCCTGACAAATACACAGTCCCTTAGGACAAGGTCTTTTGTGCTTTTTATGGGCTGATGCAGTCTCCAAAGGTAGAACTGATAACCAGCAATACATGTTATTGCAGCACCTGAAAATAAGGCTATCCTGCTCTTTAAATCAACCTCATTTATGCTTTCCTAGATGGAAAAATTTAGTCACATGTTATGCTCTTTCCTTAAACTCAGACCCTCCAAGCCCCAGGAGCAGACAGTAAGTGCACTTCTGCATCTGAGAATTACTCAGCACAGCTCATCTCTGCCTCAGAATGGCAACTGCATTGCCTGGATTGCCTCACTACAAGCATAAGAGGGCTGGAGAGTCAGATGATCTCTTCAGCTGTGGAAGAATATAACCACTACACCTGTGTGCACCCAGGCACACAGAGTCAATCGGCACTGAAGCAGTGACACTGCTGCTCCAGACCTGGGAGGTGGAAGAAAACAGAGACCTTTCTGGATTTGAGTGCACACCCCAATCAATCAGACATATTTCAGGCATTTGTTGTTTGTTTGTGGGGTAGTTTTTTGGGCTTGGTTGTTTGGTTGTTGTTGGGGTTTTTTCATCATTTATTAAATAGCAGTTCTTTCCCCTCTGGCTTCACAGAGTCCTTCCAGACCCCAGAATGCTTCAACACTCCCATGTGACAAATTTTTATTTACCTAACCTGCTAAAAGGGAACAAGAAGAACAAAACATTTGTGTTCAACAGGACAGATGAATTTGTAAAGTTGGTACAGGGCAAGCTCAGAGATGTTTGCTGATATGACAGAGAACTTGAGAGTGGGCTCAAGTGACAAAAACATGAGAGACTCCCGCATTGCCCAGTGTGTCCCTCATTCGGTCTCAGACAATGTTGTCATCTTATTTCAAAAGTTCCATACCTTCTTAGTGATTCCTTATGGGCATCTCCTCACAGCACAGCTAACAAACTCCATCTCTCTTCACAGCACAGCCCACAAACTGCAGCTCTCTCCTCACCCAGCTAACCCACTCTTTTGTAGCACTCGTCTTCTTATTGAACACAGCTGTGGCCTATTAAGGGCAGGCCTGTTCCTAATCTGTGGTGATTAGTGCAGCTGCAACTCCTCAGGTGTGAGACTACCTTCTGCACTATCTTTATTTTCTTACATTCTATCCCTCCACAAGACAAGTGTGTTACTCCTGTGAAATCCTCTCTTGGACATCGTGTCCTTCCTTGGTGACTTGAACACTTAGCAAGTATCCCTGTTAGCAAAGCCTAAGCCTCCCTTTCACAAGTGGCAGGCTGCTGTAGAAGGCCACTTTACCAGGCAATAACACCTGCTGGAAAAAAAATTCCTGTAAGCAGATTCCTTGTGACTGAAGTAGCAACCTTGACCAGTCACTTCAGAGCCCTGTTACATCCATAATGATACTGTCTCCACCTTTCCCTTCCCCCCAGCATGAAAGATGAGTGGTTGTGTGGAACGAGTCCCCGAGCTGTGATGGGAATCCGTCTCGCTTGGCTGCAAAAAATATATATATCCTGGTATGGCTGTGATGAATCCTTTCATTATTCATCTGCAATTGCCCTGTTACTGCTGCTGTTCTGTTCTCACTCTCTCTCTTTCTTTTATAAATAAAAATGGAAACAGATTAATGACAAATATTGACAGAGATTGCTTTTAAAGAGCCACACCTGAATGTGGGCTATGGGGGAGAAGCAGTGGCAGAGCAGCATCAGAGGGATGGGAAAACCAAGAAAGACTAAGTAAGAGATAGGAAAAGGTAAAAATGCTCACTCCAATTGGGCTAGGTGAGTACAGATTGGAGCAAGGTATCCTTCTGGTGATGTGGACCTCAATTTGCTCCAACAAATGAGCTCTGGAGTAACAGAGCTGTGCGTCCAAAATATCTGAAGTAACTAGAAGCAGTCAGTTGTGCTGTCAAAGATACTCTGGAGCAAAGTTTGCAGAGACTAGAGCAAAATATTCAGAGGACAAAACCACAAAACACAGAGGGGCAGTTACCACAGATCACCTGGTGATCAATAAACCAGTGTTTGTCCCACTCCACTCCAGGTGACCAGTGAACATCAAGGCTCTAGTTGGCGCAACTGCCAAAGCCACCTGGACTCAGATGGACCAAACAAGTCTGTAACCAGTCAGGTCACAGGCTGACAGTGAGTGAATGCATCCAATGGAGGCAAACCTGGCCTCATGCTACCTTCCCTGTCTATTCCCATTGTGCAAAGAAACATGGTAAGTTTTATAATCAAGTAGCACTCCAACAAGATAAATTGTTTATTCCTATTTAACATTTCATCCCCCTATTGAGGAAAGCAGGAGAGGAGTGGCAGAGATGGTACCTAACTCCTAGAGAAAGAAAAATAAACTCACTTTGGGTTTACCTCTCATCTTAAAATAACCTGTTGTAGCCACTCTGAGCAGATGGGCTGCAGGAGACAGAGCTCAAAGTCCTGGCCTCTTATAACCAAACTATACCTCTTCCTTGTAGATCCTGCTGCATTTTTTCTCATCACACAAACACATGAAAGACCTGACTTACAAAATGGCCAATTCTGCTTGTTATGCCACACACTGCTGCAGCGTCACAGGGAAGGGCAGAGAGCTTCAGCCATTGCACTTGCCTTAGTATTTAGCCCAGATATTGCATCTTAAACCTCCAAGGTGCTGTGTAAAACCCACAGATTTGGAATAAGTCTGCTCGCCCAATAAGAGGGCTGATGCCACTTGTTGTCCTACACACCTAGTGATGCCCTTCAAATCAGCTGGGAGTTCAGATATCACAGTATTTTTTTTCTCCATCCTTCTCTCTGCTTTTAGTCTCTTCCTCATCCTCCACAGACAGCTTGAGTTTTGTTACTACTTCTCTATATATTTCTATCCCTATGGTAATCCCCAGTAATTGCAGTCTCCCCCTCTTAGGTCCCACGCTTCCTAACTCAAGCACCATCTATCTCCCCAAAGATACCATGTCTGCCAAAATCCCCTTCCACCAAACCATTTCCAAGGCTATCTCCCCTTCCTGCCATTGGTCACACTTCTTATGCAGCTCCTCATTCCCATCAAAGTGTTTGGCCTCACATATGAGAGCAGAGATGTGCACAGACTCATTGCTGCTCCTTGCCAGCCTCCCACTTAACTAAACCCATTTTCATCCTTCCCTTAGAATTGCTCCTGCTCTTTTGGTGCCAAGCCACTCTCCCACCCTCCTGTCCTCCTCAGAGCACACTGCTCCTTGGACTCCTTTCAACAGCAGCTAATTCAAGACATTACAGCACAGAAGCCTGTGCCAACATCCAGTACATAAACAAAGATGAGATACATGAGAGGAGAGAACACACTGTCAGCATTTAATAACAAACACTAATTGCAAACAGGGGGATGGACTTCTCCATTCCTGTTCTCTCAGCAGCCTAAAGCAATCTCAGCCAAGGGACATGCCCATTCACAAAGAAGGATCCATTAATCACTAAATGACTCAGTAGCTGACTGATTGCCACCAGCCTGCTTGGTGTCTCACTGATCCACTGAATGGAGTTGGAGTTTTGTTTCACCTCATTAGTGTAGGCACACAGAAATATAAGGCCTCTAGTCATGCAATTTCCAAAGCCTTTCAGGTCTGCTACACATCTGCCCTATAATCCTTGCAAAATTTTAACTTCTCTCTGTGCCTCCCATTTTCCTGAGAAAATTGCCTTATATCAGATCCCAAAATATTGCCTTATATCAGATCCCAAAATAGCACTGTTGTGGGCCTCAACATTTCGGTATTTTTCTGAAAGCTGCTGCAAAAGATAGATAGCATTTTTAACAACATTTTCATTTACCAGAAAAGCTGGTTCTCATCACAAACAACATGGCATAGAGAGATCAAGCATTTTCAATAATTTTGCCCCATCATTCATTGTGCTTCATAGATAAATCAGACCCCAAAAGAGAAGACACCCATGTAAACTACACTTTGGGCTCTCTAGAGCAGCCAAGACCCTTTCATCCATAATCCCCTATTTAGGAAACATATGCAGTTATGTCACAGGAAATGTCTCTTCCCTCCTCAGCTAAAGATAGTGTCAAAACCCTTAAGGAACACCTGGGATAAGAGGTATATGCAGTTTATGGCCATGTGATTTTAGCACTCCCTCAAAGCCCCTCTTGCAGCCTTGTACTGTGTGGATTTCCTATGAGCTGCTGAATCCCTGGAGACCATGGGGTGGCTGGCACAGATCTGTAAACAATTGAGCCAAAGTTAAAACCTTAGTGCTTGCCAGTTGTCTGAGTCTTCCTCATTCAAACCATTATTCCCAGGAATTTCTCCCAGCCCATCCAAGCCCCCAGTCCCAATCCTGCCATCATGCCCTGGGCTGCCTCTAGCACTCCTCGCACACATCAATCAAGCCAAATCAACTGAATAAAACAGCAGAAACCAAGTCAATTTTTGCAGTTGAAGTGGTTTATGTGACTCAGAGGAGTCAAAGGAGGGAAAGGCAAATAGCAGGAGCTTACAGCCAAGCATGAAGAAACAATGCAGTGGAGATGGAAGGACAAATATTTTCCTTCCATCAGTCATAAACCGTTTACCCCACTTCATGGCCTTGCATCCTGTATTTCCAACAAAAAAATTCCGCACATTTCAGTCAACTGCAGACTTTTTAGAGTGCTTTAGGATGTGCTTGGATGAAAAACTAGTGCAGAAATAGAATGTCAACACCCTTCCAAATTTTTACATGCTTTAGGGTTTCAGCTCCCACAGACACTCAAGGTGATGTTGGAAACTCTTTGAGTGCAACTGAACTCACTGTATCCTGATGTATCCAGCTGCACATGCATCACACATGCTACTCCAGTACTCATGATACTTCTCCACTGATTTTAAGCTACACAGCCCTTCAGAACTCAAAGTCTGTCTCCTCAGTACCCTCCCCTCCTCAAGCTCTGGGGCCAGTAGTTACAGCTTTGCCAGTATGTTTACTTAGAGCAGACTTATGAGAGAGTTTCAGCTGTTGTTGTGCCTTAAAACTTAATTAGCTTTGATGTTGCTTTACAAATGCACACCCTGCATTAACCTACATGATGTTTTAGCCTTAACAACACTGAGCAAATTTGAAATCTGTAGAAAGACAGAAGATCTGGAGTTTACTGACCTTCACACTCCATTACAAAGTCCACTTTTCACTCAAGCTTATGTTTAATGAGATGACATGAAGGGCTTAAGTAATGGGGTATAGTATTCATATGGATATAAACTATCCAAGCAAAGGCCTACTCCTGCCTGTCTCTTCTTCCTCCTTTATCTTGCCCCTTGTGTCTCACAGCTTTGCCCCTTTGCCCTTGTTCTGACTCCTTCCTGATCCTCCCACCAGGTGACAATTTGAATTTTAAAGCCATTTACATTCCAAAATGTGCATAATCAGATTTTTATCCTGTACTTTTCTGATGTGACTTTTTTATTATGACATCAAGTACTGACCCATAATAAGGATGTAAATGCCCACTTTAATGTCTATTAGCAGTATCTGCAGATGCATATAAAATTATAGTATCATCACATAACTACATATTAACCTCTTGAGCTCCATGACAAACTCTCCAGGGAACACTGCATTCCAATTTTCAATTACCAGCAGTAGTTCAGTGACAAGCAGTAGAAGTTGTACTCATCCATATCCTAAACACTTGAGGTACTTGCAGAATGACAGAGTAGACATATTCTAAATAGACCAGCTCTGATTCTTCCAGTTGTCAGTTATTTGTGACAAGCTTTTGGGTTCTTCCCAGGGACAAATACACAGTTACGTTTAAGTATACATACACATGGGATGTAACTCACCTGAAATAAATTTGTGGTTTTCAGCAGTTGTTTCTGAGTCATATGGTAGTGCACCATCATCACTTTATCCACAGCGATTAGCAGAGAGAAGATAAGGTGTACAGCAACTTACCATGTGTCATCTTTTATGCTTCTGTTGAGCAAACAGTGCACTTTCCTCACAAAATGCCCACTTAGCACAGGTGTGAGGTGCAATGTGTGAGCACGGAACTATGTGGACTGCAGTACTTAGCTGCAATTGTGATTTCTTATCCTTGCAGTAATCTGTCCGGTCCCAAAATGGTATTAATAGAAATTCAAACATTTTGATTTTCATCTTTCAGCTTAATGGAATCTCTTTAAATAAGAAAATGGGTATTCAGCTTGCAAACAGAACCTGCTAACCCACATCTAATAAATGAACACAAAAAAGCTTGTAGAGGGAGGTTGTTTGTCTTTGTCTTTTTAGTTTTTTTCAAGATGCACTAATTTCTCTACAAGATGTAAACCAAGAGTCCATAGAGAGAACAGAACAAGACTTAGGATAATAAAGACAATGGTTAGTATCATTTTCTCTTTGTAACCTTTTCCTTTTTTCTAATACAGCTCAGTCAGATGATTGATTCTGGTTCCAAGGGCATTCTTCCCAAAATATACACTAAGACATCTTTTAAAACTTTGCTGAATTGAGCATTAGAAGGCAGCCTATCATTTGTTAAACAGTCATGTTTACTTCACTAGACAATCATTACTCTGTAGTTTAGAGAAAATAATCAAGAGGACAATACTTGAAATATCTCTGCCAGACATGAGTTAAAATTCATGTCACCCTAGGATGTTCAGGTAAAAGTATATAAAGTGTGATTGTTCCATAGCAAGTTTTCACCTACATATTCTCTTTCTTGAGATGTAGTAGACAAGTCACTTCACAGCAGATTCTCTACGATGCTATGCATTTGGGGCTGATCTTTCAATTCCTTTGAAGTCCAGGAATCACAGTATTTCCAGAGACAAAACATATTTGGGGAATTGAAAATACCTTTATAAGGAAACTCCAATACAAAGTGAATACATACCAAGTCCTAGCTCAAAAATAAATAAAATATATACACACAGATATACATATATCTGGTTACAGACAAAAATACTCAAAAAGGTAGAAATCTCTTTTCTGCCATCCTAAGTTGTCCCTTGGTCCATACCCTTTACAGTAATGCTAAATCAAATTATTACAGAGTTTATTTTTGAGACTTTTTATACAGAGCCATAGAAGGCATGCCTCCAGAGAGGTGAAGGGCAAGAACTGAAGGAGATGAGCACAAATGAGTCAGGCCCAATGACAAAAAGGACAAAGCAGGATGCTGTCTGGGTTCTCATAATGAAAGCAATTGACCATCAGCCCTGGAGAGATGCCTGCCTGCTACCATCTCTCTCTTAGCTGAGAAGCCATAGAAAGACTTCAGCAATAAGGACAGTGCTCCTCACCTCATCAATAATTGTGGCTGGATGTGAAGAATCTCTGAGCACTTATAGGTGATAAGGAAGTTTGTAAGAAATGTGATTTGAACCCACAAAAGGGTACAAAGTCAGCCCCTGCAAATTGCCACTGTCTGTGTATCTCATCTTAGGCCCTTCAAATTACAAAAAAAAAAAAAAAAGGGTTTTGCTTCAGTCTCAAATTCCTCACTTAGGCAATAAGGGTGACAGTAACATCCAAATGCTCAGCACACAAAATCATTAACAGTCTAAGCTGTCACAGCAGGAGATATCCTGAAGATACTAACAAATATCTTTGCTCTTCAGAGTGGAGTCTGGATGTTGTGCAGTAAATAAAGCTTGAAGTCAGCCTAAGTAAGGGGGAGAAAAAAAAAATCCAAGCCAGCAGCTGTTCATTCAGAGAGTCTCAACTGTCCTACACTAAGGACCCCGTGTGAAGGGGGCAGATGGACAGACTGAGACACACAACCCTCAAACCTATCATGCAAGTGCCTGACTGCATTGCACTGCACATGCAGAAGGGCACTCATTACAGCAACATGGGCCACTCAAATTGCAGCTTTGTCATCAGAGCACAAATGTTCTGGTTTATTTGTTACTTGAGGGGTGGGTGGGGGTGCTGAAGAAGATTCTTATTTAAATGTCTAAATACATATGTAAGCAGATGAAGCCCATGGTTTAGAGTCGTGCAGCCTATCAGTGTGGGGAGAAGGATGAAATGTCACCTTCCCCAGGCAGTTCCTGCATTGCTTGAGTGCAGAACAACAGCCACACCTCATGGCCCCCTCTCCCCACCCAGGAACCAAACCCTGCATGTGTAATTCCCTTCTTCCGATCTCCACAGTATCCGAAAGGAGCAGTAAGGGATAAAAGATTCAGGAAAGCTCCCCTTGCTGTTCACTGGATGACCAAGAAAGAAAACCCAGTACTTCTTTCACTCACCATACAACATTCAGCAGCAGGAGTGTCTGGCTCAAAATGGGAACATGTTTCCCCATGGAGGAGGGCTAGGTGAGTCCAAGCATTTGCAAATTATTTTGTGAACCAGGATGAAGAGCCCTAAGGCAAAACTGGCAAACCTCTCAGGAAGCTGGTGTCAAAATTACGAGGGAAACATCAGTGTCAGTGCTGGCATTAGTTTATCAGAACCACTGGTCTGCCATCACTGCACCTGCAGGCAGTCTGTGAGTGATGACACTTCTCAGAAGAAGATTTCTCCAATCTTTAGGTACAATTCTCCAATCTCCAGTACAATTTTTAAAGTGTGTTTTGAAAACTCTGTGTGCTCCATCTGCCCTATTGCAGCAACTCCTAAGATCTGCTCACATTCTCATATTTAGACACCTCTCTGTCACTCCCTCACCGAAAATGAATTAAATTAATATAGTTTACTACTTTGAAAACCTATACTATATTTCATTAAAAAAAAGAATGTATGTATCTGTTCTTACTGGGAAATTACTCTATGCCAGTAGAGAACAAAATTTGTACCCCAGATTGGATATACCCTTTTATTTATATGTGAGTTGTTCTCCATTAGAACATAGCAAGTCTACTTGCATTCATCTGTAGCTTCAGTTGATTTTTATGAGCTGAAAAAGCACGAAGAAAGGTTTCATGGCTTGAAAAAAATCAAAATTGATGAATGCCATCATAGTCAGCCCTGTTATCAAACTTACCATCAGTTATTCAAACTGAACTGAGAAAATTCTCAGCCCTGGGATGTAAAATTAAGCACATGTAAAAAAGCACATTCAGTCTTTCATTTTTAAATAGAAATTAATCAAATTATCAGATTAAATTCTTATTTACTAAAAATTTTAAAATTACAAAATTGCAAGTAGGTGCAAAACTGAAACAGCTAATTTTTAGACATCTGAAATTTTTGACATTACCAGTAGTTTGCCAAATCTGAGTCCTTCCCATAAGACAATCTATTGCTCCTTGTTCCAACTACTTATACCTAAAAAAAATCAGCATATTTCACAGGGAACATTTCACAATTCTCACAGGTGCAGCTTGTGATGAGATGAGAAAAATAACTACTTTTAAAAATGGGACAACCCTCTACTGCCAATATGGTGTTAAAAACTTGAAGCCATTTCCAAAGGATCTTGATCTTTTTGTTTAAAAACATTTAGTCCACTTGGGATCTAATTTTTACAGTTTATTCATTGGAACAGTTAAGGTAAAGGGATTCCTGTGTTGCTCCTACCACAAATATGCATAGCTATTAATAACTGGGACACAGGCATAGGCAAAAGAAAATTAGAAGTCCTCTGTTCATTTGATCTTTGAAGTCATGTTATCATGGTAAAAAAGAATTATGCCAATCTATCTTAAAAGGATGTTAGTGTTGGCAAAATGAATTGATATCCATTAAACTATCAATTGAAACTGACCTGCTCATTTAAATGACATCCCATTTGGAACTGGGCAGATCTGAAGCAGTGCCTTAGAAATGAAAGGCTATTTAAGAAACTCTGGAATTGTTTCAAATTCCAAACAGGGAGCAGCATCTCACTTGTCTAGAGACAATGTCCTGACAAACTGGGAAACAAAATCATTACAAAAAAAACTCCAAAGAATGGACATGATAAATTACCTCAAATCCTTCACTCAGGTTTGCAATTCAAAGCAAGAAAAGCACAGTAACTCCCTACAGACCTTCAGATTACAGTTTATGCTTTATACTTACGGAAACGGTCAAGGAAGCATGCAGATTAATGGAGAGCCCAATACTGTAAATCTAGGCAAATGTCAGCAAAACCTCTCTTCCCCCATCTCAACTCAGTTCCTTTATATCAGATAAAACACTTCTTTCATATATTGATTTATTTCCAGTTTCTATAATCAGAACAGAGATTCTGCAAGAGCCTCATTCAGAGAATACACATCTTATTTAAAACAGAGGAATACAAGCAGGAATCTTTCTTATTTACATGTTACCCTTAAAATAAAGTCCCAAGAACCCAGAGTCCAACCCCTATCAAACAGCTAAATCTTATGACCTCATAAAATATGTGGGACATGCACAAGGCAGCTCTTCGCAGACTCTGAGTAGACCTTTTGTGAGCTATCTCTAGGAGAGCCCTCTTTGACAGCAGGAGGAAGCTGAAATGCAACTGATGGTAGCTTTGGCTCACTATGTGGTGTTGTCAAAACCTGAGGGAGAATTCAAGGACTTTGGCAGTGCCCAAGGACTCTGGTCAGACCAGCCCAGGCTCAGATCATGGGCCTCTTAGAAATGCCTCCAGAAATGAAATCTCACATGCACCAATCTAGGCAGCCTAGGCTTTAGCTCCAAGTTAATTTGTATGCCACCTGCAACAAAAAAGATGCTTTATTACTTAGAATTTCCAATGCCATAAAGGTTTTCTACCACACAGGCATGACACCTTTGATTTTCTTCTGATAAAACTAAACAGACTGAGCTCTTAAGTATTGCAAACTATAAATACGATTGGTACAAAATTGCACTATAATACTGCTAAAGGAAATGCAATAGATTTTTGAATTAAAAAAATTAATTCTTACTTTCTAGGACCTTGTACATTAAAAAGCAGTGGTAAGAATTTTAGGTTCAACTGCCTGAATACCACCTCCTACGGTAGTGGTTACAGCATCGTTTGGGCAGCAAAGACTGGCAGCATATTTGGCTATATGAGTATAGGAAGCCTGAATAGCAATATCAGAACACTCTATGAGGAGTACCACAGGTGACTCTTAACAGTTACTCTGTAACTCTCAAGAATACTTTAAGTATAGACACTAGAAATGAATGCATATGGATGTGGAATACTGGGGATTTTCATGCAGGAGCACAATTAAAGGTTAAATGACAAGTTTTACAGTATGAAGCTTATGAAAAATGATTTATATGGGTTAGTGGCTTACATAGGACTTGTTGACTGGGCATACAAATACATGTCAAAAAAGCATCATTGAAAAGAAAGAACAAGATTTTTCACCCTTGCTGAAAAAAAAGCATGGTAAGAAGCAATGTCAGGATGTTGATATTAGGAAAAAAATATTCCAAGAGAAGATGCTATTTACTTATAAAGACAGTAATTAATAAGAAAACTGACTACAAAAAAAGATATGCTAATCCTTATTGATGCTTTCATCATCAGGATGTGTCCTTGTAAAAATATATTTAAATCCCATTGCAGGATAAATACTATAACCAAAAGTTCAAAGATGTTTTCTCCAGCATCAAAAAAAGTTTGTACATCTTTTTTGAGGCAGGACACTGGGCTAAGAGAACACTAAAAAAAAGTATCCCTATATTACTGCTTTATGTTTACAGTACCCCCCAGGCAGGCAAACCTGGTCACTGTGAGAGACAGACTACCAAGACAAGCAGACCTTTGGTCTGACACAGTACAGCATTTTTCAGGCTGTTCATCCCATTTCCTTCAGAGTTTACAAGGACAAGAGGGCAGCTTTGCAAAACCCTGATCATCCTAATACTGGCATCTCTGCTTCAGGACATTGAATACTCTAGCTCATAATATCCAGGACTCAGCAATACTTTTCTTGATTATTGTCTGCAATTATATATATTTTGCATCTTTGATATAACAGGCTGTACCAGTCCATTTTCCAGTTTTACCAATTCTTGAAGCTGGTACAAGAATTCTCTTGACACAGCAAGCCAGTGAGCACATATTTTCAGCTGGCTGGACTCACAGTGACAGCCATGCTTGCATGGGAAGGCATTCTCACCACATTAAAGTTGAGAACGATGTTGAAAGTTCCTTCTGTCTCTACAATGTAAATCTGTATTAGATGTCAAATGACTGAGGCCCAGCCACATGTGGGTCTGCAGGCACTGCTGCCAGTTTAGCTGACCTGCCTGTGGCACTGTGGCACTCATCTGTGGCACTATTCACTCTCTTAAAAAGAGAGGCTTTGGTACAATTAAGCCATTATGTCCTCTGTGCTGAGTTCAAGTGTTGTACTGGGTAAAGTTAATGGCCTAAGGATAATCTTTTACCTCCTGTATAGCAAGCGTCCCCTTATGCTTCATGCCTTAAGAAGCATTACTGTAAAGAATTTTTCCTCCACTTGATGGTACAAAAGGATGTCACAATCACAAAACAAAAACTGCAACAGAATATAGGAAACAAAACCACAGAAATGAAGTAAAACAATGAGAACATAAGTTCATCTTCCTTTGATGGTTTCCTAACAGACCATTAAAATACATTTTCTGAACAAATGTAGTATCCTTTACTTTTCCTTTACTGAAAAATTCTCTGGTTACAAACTGTTCCTCAAGACAATGAAGCAAAGTTCCTATCCTCTTAACATAATTTCTTTTCAATATCTAGGCACACATACTTTTTGTATGTATCTAGGCACAAGGTTTTTGTAGCATCTTCCTTCTTCAGTACAGAAGGGGCGACAATAAAAGAGGCACTCCATCATGCTTCTTGTTGCCCTTCCTACAATTTCCCTTCTCATCCTCTGCCCACTAAGCAGATCTCCACAACATCCAGAATATAACAGCAAGAGCACCTACAGTTTGAAGGACAGCACTAACCTACTCAATGTCATTATTCAAGAATGATGCTGGCAAGACACACCTCTGCATACCACAATCACAAAGCTAATCTATCATCCAGTAGCACTAGTCCCAGCCTCTAACAAGTTTCTCTCCAGCTCCTGTTTTGCTGCTTTCTCCACTTGTTACTGTACCTTAAAATCATAAATCCATCATGACAGAAACTACATTCTTTTAGTTCAGTCTTCTCCAGGACTTACCAAGCTGGGCACTAATCCTGACTAGAGCTCACTGAACCACCAGAAATGTGCAAAGAACAACTAGGAAATGTGCTTCTCTCAGTTTTTGATTTCTCTTTCTGTCCATCTTCTCCCTATACACAGAAGTGTGTCATTTTAAGATTGGTCACTGCCATCTGTGAAAAACTGTTGCAATTGCAGGAGGTCCCCAGAGGCAAGAAGGGGTATGTATCAACACCTTCACCATCAACCACCACGTCACTCACCAGACCTGTTTGGTTGGACTTGGTGATCCTTGTGGGTCCCTTCCAACTCAGGATATTCTATGATTCTATGATTTAAAGGACTTTAATTGCCTTTCAGTAGCACCCAGTATGATCTCCTCTACAATTTTTCCAGGTGCTGGGGCTAGACTAGTAGGTCTGTGTTTCTTGGGTCTCACTTCATGCCCTTCTAGTAAACTAGAATAACACTGAGTAGATTTTAGTCAGGATAAACCTTTCCCAGACTCCCAAAGATAGACCTTTCCCAGACTTTGGTAGGGATTGAGAGAGGTCACGCTACAACAACCACTAGCTCCTTCAGTACTCTGGGATGAACCCCACCTGGCTTTATAGACTTACAAACATTCAGCTGGTCCCTTACAATCTCCATGTGCACAAAGTCACTATTCCCACAGTAACGATGCTCCAAATCAGAAGACAGAGCAGCCCAAGGTCTGTCAGTATTATAATGAGACCAAGGCAAAAAAAAAAAGTACTGAATGCCCCCCACCTTTTCTTCACTCCAATTTGTCAGGTGATCATTCACAACAAATATCAGTCCAATGTTTTCCTTAGACCTCCTATTGCTATTTATGTACTTCAAAAACCCTTGCTTGTCTAACACAACAATTCTGGCCAGTTTCAACTCTAATTAAAGTCTTGGTCTTTAATATCTTCTCCCTGCATATGTGAACTACAGCTCTGTAATTTTTCTGTGAACCTTGACCTTGCTTCCAGAGATCATAGAATCCTTCTCCTTCTGAGATTCAAGAGGAGTTCCGTGTTCAGCTGGGCTTCTGCATGGCTTGTTTGACTTTCAACACAGAGATCACCTGCTCTTGTGCTTTTAAAAGGTGATTCCTAAAAACTGACCAGACTCAAGGAACAGCACACTAGTAACTAGCTCACTGAGTTGCCTAAAGTCAGCTCTGTTGACATTCAGGGTAGGAACCTTGCTGACCATTTCTCTCATTACATCAAAGATTTTAAAACGACCCATTTCACGATCCTGTGGCAAAGGCAGCCACCTACCACCATATCTCTCAAAAATCCTTCTTCATTAATAAATAACAGGTTTAGGAGGGGATCTTTCCTAGTTGGTTGAGTACTTGTGACTACAAATTATCTTCAACATACTTCAGGAATTTCCCAGACTTGCTTGTCACTGTAGTATGGTATGCCCAGGTCCTGTCTGCAAAGTTGAAGTGTCCCATAAACACAAGGAGGAAGACAACTAGAGAGAAGACAAAACTGAAAAAAGACTGGGAAGTCCTGGTGCACAAAAAGTGAAATACGAGTGAGCTGAATATCTTTGGAGCAATAATCACATACTGGACCATCTTGGCAGAAGCACAGCAACTAAAGCAAGGCATGTTATTATTCCTTTCTGCTCAAGTAATCCATATGGGAAGCAGTATCCTTCACACCAAGTACTGTGTGAGCAGAGTGAGTTCTAAGAAATCTGCCTTAGATGAAAAAAAAAGAGGCAAATCAATGGACTTATTTTATTCATCTCATAATGCTGTAGGTACTAAAATCTGTATCAAGTTACTGAAGTCTGAAGATATATTTTATATACCCTAGAGTAACAAGATAGATGATCCATTTAGGTTGCCTACCACTCAGGAGAATTTGGTTGAGAATCTGACTGATTTGTAAATGGATTCTAACCTAGAAATAGAAAAGACAGGGCAGCTGCAATAATTGGAGTCTCCTGGAACTTCCAGAAAGTTGCCATGTCAGGAAGTATGGCTTGTCAAGACACTGCCACAGCTGCTCTTCAGTACTGCCACGGGTACAATCTGCCTTTAAAGACAAGAAATACCTCCTAGGAGCTTACAACCTAAGTAAGGGCTTAACCAGATAACAGTGCTACTGACCTCAATAGGAAAATATGATAAATTCTCTTTCCCTGCACCCAGAGAAAAATCACATGAAGCATTGCAACCCACCCCTCCACCACCACAATGAGATGAAAGTTCTTGATTCCCTAACACCTTTCTTGAAAAAGCTTTTAAAGCATCCTGACATCACAGAAGAGAAAAAAACTATTTGGACAATACTTAGAATGCAGCAAGATTTATCACAACTGACTTTTAAAAGGGAATACAATGGCTAAAATAGTATGTAAATAAAATAAATTGTATTTATTGCATAAAGCTGAATGGTCAGTAATCTGAGTAAATCTCTTGAACAGACTCAAACTAAGAGAGGTTGTGGAGGATACTCCACAAGATCAAAACCAGTCAATTTCACAAATACTCTTTCAGGGAACCATTCATTATCATTAGAGCAGCATGCAGCTTAGATTACAAGGCTTCAAATCCTAAATTTTTTATGCAAGTTGTCAGGAGAACATTCTCACCTTTCCCATTCACTGTATTCACGAGTACTAGATAGTCAAACTACTACTCTTCAGGTTTACCTTCTTTTCAGATGTTTTAGATTACAGGCCCTCCAGTGTTGAAACTTCCTGTGTTACCCCTTAGGCATCGTTGTTCAAAATAGCTACAAATAAGAAAAAGCCATGACAACTTTAAAACAGGAACACTTCTTCCTTTATAAACTATAACATCTTGTCCTGTAATCCAAATGGACTTCTGTATTCCATCATTAAGGTAAAAAGGGTTTCCCCGTTCTAATTACTTCTTAAATGGACCACGCAAATAAAAAAAAAATTAAAAAAAAAAAAAGAAAGAAAAAAAAAGCGTTTTGAGAAGGATTTATAGTGACAGATCTGACAGTTTGCTTGTGCTGCAAAATATAAATCCAATTTGGATGTCTCCCCAAGAATAAGTAGGTATTAGGGGATCAGACACAGTGTGCATGTAGTATAACTAACTATATCTGTCAATCATGATTTACAGTCATTCAGTTTGTTTTGTGTATATTATGACCATTTCCCATTTTAACACACAGCTAATATAAATCACTGCTTCATATTCACCCAATCAAATCTGTCCCTCAGTCATTTGATTCATAAGAGAACAGAACACTGCAAAATCAGTAAAATCACACCAATTTTGCCGTCTGCTTAAGAATGCTAGATGAACTGCCACAATCAAAACAGATTTTACAAGTTTAAACAGTCCTGTCTGAAAGCTCCACACAAGGAAAGCAAAAAGTTCTATTCATACAAATAGGACTTAAAGGACTTAAGAAGCTGGGAGGCCACCTGTTCCTTGGTACATGCTATACAAGTACATATTCTTAAAACATAGTTGAAGATAAGCTCCAGAGTTATTACAGAGAGAGAAGAAATCCCTGTCCATATATTCTGCAACACAGGAGGTAACAGCAGACCGAGTGGACGTTCTACGAAGAGAATCTCTTTAGTGTACACTGCAGTGTAATGTGCAATTATCAGCAGGTGGAGACACCTCCAGTAGGTGTAGCAGACAATACTTTTGAAGGAAGATGAAGCATGATACAGAAGGAGTCTGATCTATACCTATAATGCTCTGAACTCAGGTGACACTTTAAATGGCTTTTTTGTTCAATGGCATGTTAACTTCAACAAGCATCCTTTAGCAACACTAACAGACATTTTTTAATTTATATACTGAGATATGGATGTTTTGTATAATCTTCTACCACACTGCAACAATATTCAAGGCTCTGGGTTTCCATCCAGGACAGCAGCTTGCACATTCAGTCCAAGTAGCTCTCCCAAATCCTTATCCAGTAGGAGGTTCAGGAATGAACATGCAATATGCAATAAAGACTGAACACATTCAGAGTAAGGGAGAAGGAAAAGGTTGAATGGACAATGCCGCCAGTGTGCTAATGGCAATTTCTACAAAGACAAGCACCATATTTGCTTTGCCAGAAGCAACATGATTTGAGTCTGTTAGCACATGGCCAGAAAACATTCTTCTAATACAGGATTCAGGTTCCATGTTTCAATGCATTAGCATTCCCTCCTCATTCCCCAGCCAAGAAATCCTTCTGGTCTGGAAGCAAGCAGAGGGAGACTCCTGCCTCCCTGAATGGCAGTGGGACTTTCACCCTGAAAATGCCAAGTACACAAACGAGCAACATGTCCAGAGGGTGAATAAGGATCTGAAAACCCCAAAGAAAACCTGTACATGACCCATTACATATGAGCTGGAACCAGGAAAAGAGATGAATTCGTAATAAATACAGTGATAGCAGGAAAATTTCTAAAAGCCACTGCAGTCCCAACACTGATTACCTTTTCTTAAACATAGATTCACAAACATGATTTAGGTGTGTGAGGCACACAGACCAGCCTGGATGATGGCATGTACCACGCACCAATACTGAAGATACCACACTGCCACACAAGATGTTTGGTGCAGACAAACACCAGAATCAAACACTTCCAAAGTCGAGCAAGCCTTTACAGTTGCAGTGCTTCCCTTTTAGCTGTATCCAGGGCTCTTCTCTGGTGGCATTTTAAAAAAGTTACTGGAGGCAGCAATAGTAGATTTCTCAGCTGCTGGTGTTTTCCCAGTCCACTCAGAGTTCTGGGATCTCAAGGATGGTGCTGCTGGTAGCTCTGATTCTGCTGCATCCATGTGGACAGATAAAGTTGCTGAAATATAAAATTGCAGGAAAGGGGAACAGAGGAAGACAGTAAGAAAGGGCAATAAAAAAATGTTAGAACAACTAACTTCATGGCAAACTCCTCATATACATAATTTCATTTATGAGGATATTATTTATTGAATTTCTAAAAGTTCTTCATCCAAATTCCTCTGAAACAGAGGTTCTTGATAGCATTAACAATTTTGCTCTAACGATTCACACATTCAAAACTCTAAGTTCCCAGTCCACTAACTAGTTCCCTTAGTCAGAGTTCCTGTTGAAAACCAGAAGTTTTAGCTCTCCCATATTTAATGTGAATCAATTCACAATCATTCATCTTAAAATAACTTAAGACTCCTTGCAAAGACTAAATTAATTCTCTACTTGAGACTTTCAAAGTCTGTGAAGCTGTGGCAAATTTCAGGTTGCTGAGCTCATCTAAAGAGGAAAACATACTTCCCCAGTAAGGGCGGTACCATGAACCAACACATATATCCAAAATGGTAAATCAGCATATTATGACAAGAAACTACTTGCCAAACTAGGTTGAAATTCATTCTCATTTTCTCAATACAATCACTGCTTCAAAATGGGACAGGCCATAATAGCCAGAGAGATTTGCAGATCCATAGCTCAACCCAACAGTCACCCAAATTTCCAGAAGGATTGCCAAAAACCTAGATATATGAGAGTTTACTCCATTTCTCAGTACCCTGAACCAACTAAATCCTCACAAGCAGAACAGCGCCTGGTAAAGAAGAGTAATTGTCATAGGAGTCTTTGGAGCAAACAGAATTTTTTACACAAGTAACTACTTCGATACAAAATGCATTTCTTCATTGTAGTCTCACAACAGATAATAGCTGTTTGTGTGTTTTAATTACAAGTTGCATCTGCTGCTCTGTAGTGGATGAAGGATAAAGAGGCCACAGCAAGCCTCAACTAGAGGATAGATTGCTTTGAAGTTTAAATAAAAAGTCAGTTCCATGCTTGAGGTTCCACATTCAGTAGATCTGGAACCCCAACAATGCTGCTTCTGTAAATCCAAAACAGTGAGTCATTCCCATACTGCTACAACACAGCTGACAGAAGTACCTTGCAATTTTAGATCTAGCCCATCATCTTCCTTCATGTGAAGGTCATATGAAATGTGAAAATACCCCAACAACTGTCAGTCCTTAAACTCACAATCACACTATGTGCCCCTTGCTAGCAGCCTCCACACTCAGGCTCTCCATCTTTCCTCATAAAAAGAGAAAAAGAAAAGACTGAAACTGGCTTATTGTTTCTGGGTATGGCAAAGAGTGAATAATTAGCAAGAAATAGAAGAAGGAAAATTCACCAAATTGCTACTATTCATCAGACTGCTCTCTGATAAGCAGTTTCACAGGCTGCTGTCACCTTTTTTACAAGCTAGGTGTGAATACATGCCAAAGCAGACAAAAATTCTATTTATGTAGATTTTTACCCTAGACTCACTGTAATAGCTGATTAGGATGCCAGTTACCATGTGCACTGCTACATACATACACAGAGGATTAAACCATATAAACACTAAAAACAACAGTGTAAAGATTGTTAGTTGTTCACCATTTATGACACAACCATCTGTACTTGTGGCCTATTCTGACAAAACGAAGACAGACGTGACAGTCTTCATCAGATTCCTTTCAAACCAGAGAATAACTTCCATGAGAATAACATTTTATGCAGAATTTCTCAGACAAGCTCTACTGTGCCACTAGGGATATTATTCCAAATCGACTGTACTGCAGTGGAAATTAAACACAAGGACACTATCCATGCCTTCCAAGTCTCAGATCACTGAAAGGTCAAAGGACCTTTACCACCACAAATCATCTTCCTCCCTAGGCACTGGCTATTGGTCACTGAGTTGGATGAAATTCTGGTCTAATCCAGTACAGTCAACCTTAACTTCCTCCAGATTTCCTTATTCTACTGCCAAATTACACCAGTCAGATTTTTGCTCTTATCAGGTAAAGGCCTCATGCTTTAGGGCTCACACTGTTCAATTGTGTCGTGTGGAAAACATTAATTTTCAGTCTCTCTAAATATTTGCATAAGTTTGCCCAACTTAATTTTGATAAAAGTCATTTCCTAAAGTGCAAGTTAATTCTGAATTTTCTACCCACGTTTTGTTGTTCTCAACAGCTCAGTTATGGTATTTAGGCCAGTTAGCCTCAAAGAGCAGGATTAATACCAGAACTTTAATACTATAGCAATACAATAGAGACCCAAGACACTTCTACAGTAATGCAGTTTTTTGATGTTCACGCAAGGGTCTCTGGGAAAAGATACTTTACCAGAACTCATAAATACTCAGAGTCTTGAAAATATGTGAGAAGACATGGAATAAATTTAGTTGCTTGGTTCCCAAATAAGTATTATCTCTAGCTGCCTTTTCTCATTCCTGCACCGAGGAGGGAAAACAGCATCCACATCTCATCTGCCTCTTATTAGCATCTTCTGATTTCAGCCAAATTCAACTCAAAACTTTCTGTGCATGGTGGAGGGGGTGAGGCGACAGGGGAAGATTTGTAGCTGCATGTTTAAGAAAGAAGCTAAATTCATCACAATGACAGGGGATAGTGTTGGCAGAGATTTGAGCTATTTATTCTTTTAGGAAAATCCTATAAAGAATGACACGAGGAAGCCTCTATCTGCAGTCTTGTTCATCACACTGGTGAGGAGTCCGATAACAGATGTATGCAGTAGCGTGATTTAGTGCCGGGAGCTGGCCCCTGATGTGTATTAATACAGCGGCAAAGCGGAACGAGCCCCTCTTCATCACTCATCTCTATAAAAGAGGTGGAATCCGAGATGGCCCGATGTTCGGCACAGCAAGCCCATTTGTTCTGCTGACTGATGAAGCCAGCTCAGGCTGTGTCCTTCACCTCCACGGGGCACTCAGGTTGCAAAAAAGGAGATCACTGAAGCAGGACCTGGTCAACAAGTGAGACGAGAGCAGTTGGACTCAGTGAAGGAGCTACTTAAAGGTGAAGAAATCCAGCACTCTGTGTCTGCATGACAGGCACGGGCCTGTATTCTGATTTACCAGTGCTCCACCTTTTGCAGAAGTAAAATGCCACAAACATAAAAAGCCTCAGAAGTGAAAAAAAATGAGACTGCCATGACTCCTCAGGCACTCCTCATGTGAACCCCAGTATATGACATTTATATATGGGGGTGAGTAGATACATGGCATGGATATCTCATCAATATCCAACAAATGTAAGCGTGTCCAACTAATTCTACATTATGGCAGAATAATACTATGTATCTTTTTAGACATTAGTAATTCCATAACAAAATCTCCTTTGACAGAAATAAGACCAGATTCCAGAAGTTGCCAAGTTATTTGTCCAGGCTGTGCTTCAGCTGTAATTATGAATCTGTAGTAGAACATCGTTTAGGACACAGCTTCAGTTACCCAATCATAAAAGTTTCTTTCTACAAGTCAGTATTGCAGCAAACCCTTGCCATAGCTGTTCACTTGGCTGAGGATATTTCTAAACAGGATCTCAGGAAGGGATCTTTGCCATTTCTGACCATTAAGGATTTTGCAGACCTTGTCTCTTCATGATCAGCCTAAGCATGCTGCCCACACTCTACTAACTACACTTCTTCCTTATTTTGTAATACATAACAATCCTCTCTCCCTCATCCATAGTAAGAAAGCTTTCCAAGCCCCTGTGCTATTTCCAGAGCTAAGTTCCACTTCAGATGCACTCTCAACTCTTCAAAAACTGTTCACTATAGAATTTGCCTAATCAGGTAAGTACAACTTAAATAGTACTTTGAAACATGTAGGCATAGAAACAGAAGCTCTCTGAGTAATAAATAAATGGACAGGTAACAGGGGACAGTGAGACATTAGCACTTATACCACAAAAATCTAGTATTCCAGTGCTAAGATTCTGTGGTTTCAGATACTATCCCTTTTACTACAGAAGTTCAAACATCTCAAAATGGAATACTCAAAGGCCAGGAAAGAATAACCTAAATAAATAATCAATAATAGATGAGACTTTTGCTGAAAAACAGATTAATAATGTTCTTTTCTCTTTATTTTTTTAGTAAAGAACCTTTCCAACAGTTTGCAATCCAGATCAGTGGCCTGGAGAGAAAGCTCAGCTTTCTTCCCTACTTCATTATTCTGTCTATCCACCAGCCCAAGGAAGAAACACAAACTTCCTTCTATTAATCATCAGTTCATTTGGTCTTCCCCACTGTTTTTACATCTCTATTTTTTCCATCATCTTACCCACTACCTTGTTACTGGATTACAAGAGTTATTAATAAACTAGTTGGAAGAACATGTATCAGAGGATAGTCGCAAGGTAGGGTAAGGTCAAAGGACAGAAAGGAGCATGCTAAAACCCACCGTGTACACCAGATTAAAGCTTTTTCATATTCTGATGACTAATCAATGACTTTTCAGAAATCTGCCACATGAAAATAGACTAGTATTTTAATGACTACGTCCCCATAACAAGAAAAAACTATTTTCATCCAAAAGAGTAAGACAACCCCCAAGGAGTAAGTGGTTTCACCCAATGATTACACAAAAATTGCCAGATTTTTGCTCCTGTGAAATTGTCTACAAATACCCTGATAAAGGACATCAGAGATTCCAGCTAATGCCAGCGCAATACTCTGTGCATACTGATCAACTGCCTATTATGAACTCCATATTTTAGGACAGTGGAAATAACACCTTATGAAGAAGCAGATTACTGTTCACAGTAAGGTGAAGCACTGCAAATTAACTTACCACTGCTACACTGCCAAAAAATTGTTTAGTAGGCAGCTTTTGATGCTATGCAAAAACACAATATGCCCTCTAACTTGATTAGTTTCAAACCAAAGTAATGCTACCTTTGCCTGTGGTGCTTCGCTAAAAAGGGGCATGACTGTAAAAATGCTGGCGGTTACCTGATGTTGGGCTAGACATGGAGGCTGCAGCTGGCTTTCGTTTCCTCTTGATGTCCCTTGAACATGGTGGTCCCAGATGGACATTTGCTTGCCTATGGAGAAAATAAAACAAATTAAACTCAGTTCCCATATCACATTTCTGTAAGACTGACCAGTCACCTCCAGCTCCTACCTTCCCATCAGCTTCTTAACTAGAAAGTACCACAACCCAAAAGTTTCTCAGGGAGTTTTGCTCATATTCTTGGTCAATATAAATTATGCTCCCATTTCCTTTAAGAGCTCACACATAAACTTCTCAGAAGAATAATTATTCTTTAGCCTTTAAAGCCTTCAACCTTCTGGTTCTGTATTAATTCCAAACTAACTCCTTGCATACATAAAGACGTAATCAAGCAGTGATGTGATATGTGTCCTACCATTACTTCTATGGAACAATAACAAATGTCTGCAAGATTGCTCTTTATGTAAACTGTGTAATATTTGCTCCTTAGTCAGAAATTATTTTGCAATCCATTTGGTACTGTAGAGTCATCTTAGAATGTACATATAATGCCAAATGTCCATGCAAGTTGTTTCCATTACAGTGGTAAGTTCATAAAGTTAGGAACACAAAGCTGTCTCGTGTTTTTAAAATCATTATTTCCTTATTAAAGTGCTGTGCAAACAGCTGAATCTGACTTATGGCAGCCTTGTTGCACCTCTAAATTGGCTCAAATGCTTAATCTGTTCTGTTAACATCAACTGTTAAGTCTGAAGCCTACTGATGGCCATTTCAGTTTGTTTAATCATTTGCCAATTAAGAAGTAGCCATTTGCCAATTAAGAATAAATCTGTATGGGTGGAACTGACTTGAGCTGAGAACTCCTCCAAGTCATGTACCCGTATGAAGCAGAGAAATTTAATTCAGAAATAACAGTCTTTGCAGCAGACTAGAGAACTTCCTCAAATACCATCCATAATGGATATAAAGGCATCGTTTAGCAATGACATTGGGTTCAAATCCCTTCTTTGTCCAGTACAACAGACTTCCTTTGGCAAGTTCCTTGGCCACTCTTATCATGAGATCTGATGTGCAAAATGCAGAACTACAGTGCAAATAAAATCAGTTAAAGACTGTGAGGAGCTTATATGATGTAAAATTTGTAACCCTACAAGTTTTGACGATTAAGTGCTGAAAAGCTTCAGTGTCTTCAAAGCTTGTTACTTTGACTTTAAAAAAAATCCTGAAAGTTTAACAAACACTTTTATCACATACTAAAGCCTTTGAAATATATAAAAAAAGAAAAACTTAACGGGTTTTATTTTCTTGACAAAAATCTATTAAAAAAACCAAACCCACATATTTACAATATGTATCATTTTAGATGCCGAATTTGTGCAAAGCCAAATTGTGCTTTTGTATCTATATAGAACAGTGCAGGGACCACAAGAAAATTCCTACACTAGTCCAGTTTATAAATTGTTTGAATGCTGCTGGATCTATCTATTTACCTGAAAAAAAAAGGTGCAACCACAAAAAAAAAAAAAAAAAAAAAAAAAAAAAAAAAAAAAAAAAAAAAAAAANAAAAAAAAAAGATAACACCTACTGTTCCATCTTCTCAACTAAAATTCAAAAGTTCTACAAGAAGTCTATAAGATCTGTCCTCTAAATCTGACATTGAAGAACAGCTTCAAAAATTTTAAAATAGCGCTACGTTTGACAGCCAGCTAGTTTTTCAAATATGGGAGCACATATGAATACAACCAAAGTCTCCTGAGGGGATGGAGTGTACTCTCAGTAAACTCACCAAGACCAAGTGCTGGGTCCTTCACTTTGGCCACAACAACCCCATTCATCACTGCAGGCTGGGGGAAGGGTGGTTGGAAAATGGACCAGAGAAAAAGGGCCTGGGGGTGCTGATCAACAGTGGCTGAACATGAGCCAGTGTGTGCCCAGTGGCATCATTCCTTGGATCAAGAATATTGTGGCCAGTTGAACCTGGGAAGGGGTCATTCCCCTGTACTTGGTGAGGTTGCACCTCAAGTCCTGTGTTCAGTTCTGGGCCCCTCACTACAAAGGACACTGAGGTGCTAGAGCGTGTCCAGAGAAGGGCAATGGAGCTGGGGAAGGGTCCAGAGCACAAGCCCTGTGAGGAGCAGCTGAGGAAGCTGGGGTTGTTTAGCCCAGAGGAAAGAAAGCTCAGGGAAGATCACATTGCTCTCTACAACTACCTAAAAAGAGAGTGTAGACAGGTGGGGGTCAATCTCTTCTCCCAGTCAAATGGCAGAAGAATGAGAAGACAAAGGCTCGTGAAGCACCAGGGGAAGTTCAGGTTGGATATCAGGAGGACTTTCTCCAAGGAAAGGGCTGTCAAACATTGGAATGAGCTGCCAGGAGGTGGTTAGAGAAACCTTCCCTGGAGGTAAAAAAGCTTTCAAAAATAGTGGCACATCTACAGAATGCACATTCAAATCTCATGTCTGTACACCAAAGTGACTTACCTCTAAGTAACTATGTGAATGCTAAAAACTGCTTTTGTACATGACTATAACAGTGGCTATACAGTGTTTTAACACAGCTTTTAACCATGTATTCTGAAACACCTAAACACACATAGCCTGAAGAAAAGATTCTGTTTTTTATTTTGCATCAGTGACACAGTATTAGATTACTAACTGCAAGACTATTATATAATTGTACGTAATAATCCAAATAATTTTAAATAATGTAACAACAAAAATAAATTTTAAATGTTCCCTTTTTAATTTTTTCAACTTATACCAACATTAACCAGTTGATCCTAGGAGGAGTATGTACTATCATTTCCAAGAGACTTTATGCAATTTTTCCCAGCTCACAAACATTACAGCTAGATTTTGCATAAAAGCTCCTGGCTCTCTGCTACATATTTGAACATCTACCCTTACCTGATGATTACACAAGGGGTAAAAAAAAGAAAAATGAAAACAGAAGAATCTTAAAATCCCTTCTTGTAGTGCATGTAAAGACAAATCATACTTCAGCAGAAGATTACTAGCAAGAATGCTCTATCTAGTAGCTGTATCTAGTAAGATACAAAGGCTCAGAGGTCATAAATTGTCTCTATAACATGTTTTTCTTTCAGGTTTATCCCTTACTGATCACCCACACTTCAGTTAGTAAATCAGGAACCTATTGATTATTCACTGGCTCTGACTGACCCAGTGGTAAAAGTGTCATTTCAAGAGGCTGGTGCACTTTACAGGCACCATAAATCTGCAGGGAATCTCCAAGTAGTAAGTACCTTGGGAGAGAGAAGAGCAGAAGATTGCATTCAGGGATGATAGTCCTCATTAAGGCCTGGACAGAAAGGATGTCTGAGGTATAATTTATGAAATATGGAGATTTTTGGTAGATAGCACACTTTTCAATGTAAATTTCTAATCACTAGCTTGCATGAAGGTCTACATCAGTGAAGTAACAGAATTAATGAACCTCAGTTTAAAAGCAGACTCCTATAGACTGCTACAAACACCACCACTAGGAAAATCAAGTCATGGATATGCACAGCACCCACCATAGCAGTGATAGGCTGAACTATAAAACATGAAAATATCACAAGTTGCAATGATGAATTATTTCTCCTTCCAAAGCTGAATTTTAACAACTCTTCTGAACAATTAAAAATTACTCTAAAGCAGACTAGAACAGTAAAGGCTGACAGAATATGCATATTTGTGCATTGTCACAGCCTTCTGTGAAGAAGTTTGACACCAGAATTTTGTGAGATGAAAGATCTGGGCCTAAACTTACAGAGTAAAATAGAACTTACACTGTCCTTACTAGTCTTCACTCTCTTCTGCTAGGCCTCCATGCTTTCTTCAATTTTGCATAAACAGTAATGAGAAAATAATTCCCTGGTTTCTTTTGGACTATGACAGGTTTATCATACGAAAAAAGCAAAGTTGCAGTGTTTAGTCACAGATGGATTTGCCAGGTGACCAGAGACTAACATGAAAATGTAGTTTACAATCTAGAGATAACAGAAATTCTAACCCTGGAAGAGAAAAAGGAGAACACACTTAGAGAAACAAATCAGGATCAAAAATGTGGCTGTTTTGTTGGCTGCAATATATTCAACTCACACAGCAGTCACTGCCAGGAGTTAGTGAATGAAAAATTACACATATATAGGAAAAATGGCTTTCAACAATATGAAAAGTCTATAGGGTCTTTTTGACAGTGATAATATTTTTTGTAATGACAAACTAAAGAAATTATTCAGGAAATACTTTTTGTCTTTTGTTTTTAACATAGTACTTATGGTACCCAAATCTGCATGCAGGTCATGCTGGAGAAAAAATAGGCTTTGTTATGCAGAAAGATTAAATTCATGGTAGTCTCTAATGAGTCAGAAGTAATGTTTCCTTTCATTTCTTTTCCACATACTTATTCTATGACTTTATTTACGTGATTTTTAATGATCAGTGCTTGCATACACAGGATTCCCATCTCACTTCTGCAGTTTGAGATGACCATGCATGGGAGCTTGCCACTATTTCACATCTACCACAGTATTTCAACAGAAAATTAGGATTGGCAATATAATCTGTGGGGGACAATACAGAGCACAAGCAGATACCATTGCACAAAGAATATTACAAGACAGCATCAGGACCCTGAAAACTTCACCATCTGTGAAATCTAAATTGTAGCATGAAATCCACTCTTTGAAACTTCAGGATAAAAACCAGCTCAATCTTGCAACAAAGGTCTCTGAAAAGGCCATACAGAGCTAAATATGACAACCTGTGGCCTTGTTGGAGGCAAGCGGCACACTGCACACTTGGGGGTGTATGCCTCTCACTGTCATCTCACATCATCCAGCTTGTCGGCTTACACTCTTTATTCTAACCCTATCCTCAGAAGAAGCAAGGCATTATACAGGGAGAGGCAGTCATTAGTCTACTACTGGAAAAACAAGGGATGTTATTATCCTCATGTTAAAGTGAATGTTAATAGAGACTGCCTTTTAACAAAGATACTGCTACTAAATCTCCACACAACCCAGCTGTTGCTGTTGTGATGCTTTATTCAGAGCAAACACAAGCCAAATGAAAGGCTCTTTCTCTAAGCCCTGAGGTGTTACCTGAGGCTGTTGATGGTGGCTTCACAAAATTAATAGCAAAAGCAGACTTCTTCCTCCTCTTTGACTACAGAGCCAGCTGGGCACCAGTCTAATCTGCACATAACATGTGTAAATCAATACAAGTCGCTCATCCTATCTGCATGCAAAGCTCCCACACGCACAAGTGGTTCTTGCTATCACATCCCAGTGTAGATATTCCTCATGCACAGCAGTCTCCTATGCCCTGCAGAGCCTCATGGGAAGGCTTCTAGAGCACATTTGCAGATTCCAAAATCTCTAATAGGTCAGCTTACTTCTTCAATCATCCAAATATCATAGATCTTCAACAGCAGCAGCCTGTTCCCCAAGTAAGCATTATAATGATGTGGCAATTTCATTCCTAAAAGTCTGCATGTGGCAAATGCAAGTGAATGCATTTTCTTCTTGTTTTCCATGTAAGCACTCTAAGCAGAGATGTGATCCCATATATTATATTCCCTATTTTCACACTGAATCACACTCTAACTGTGCCAGAAAGACTCAGCCAGATCTGCTGAGTACATAGATTTGAAATAGCAGGTAAAATAAAAAAATCTGAAGCCAAAGGGAATTTATTTTTCACTCCAGAGAATTAGGATTCATCCAAATGGGAATATTAGGCCCCAGTCAACTGCATGTGACACTAGGTTGATAGCTGCTGTTCACTGCATGCCTGTCAGAAGAATTCAGTTATATTCCCAACTGCAATATTAGCCAGGCTTTAGCAAAGGATGACATGAAAATCCTCCAGCTAAATGGAAAATGAGTAAAAAAATAGGGAGAAGCGTTGCCTAGAATGAACTGGATACTGTCTTGCTCAAGTGGGAAAAGTATGAAATTGTGGACATCTGTTCACTCCTCTGGCTGCCTTAGAAAAGGCCTGACCTTGCAGGCAATCCCTGTATTTCCACATGCTCAGGGGTAAGAAGCAGAAATATCAAGATCTCTCGGTACAGATACAGAAGTGACAGAACAATATTTGTTTTCACAAGAGTATTTCTAGAGCCAGAACTACAATTTGAGGCATTCAAGTCTGTTCAATTTAACAGCACTACTAAACCCAGAGTATGGGGCAACTGGGAGTAAATGAGGAGATCATGCATGCCTTTACATCTTTATCCCATGTTTCAGGCAAGATGACAGACTTGCTTCTAAATCAAATTAAATTTTAGATTTACAGTTAGTATTAACAGAGTACATGCAAAGCATTTCTTTATATGTGCTGTTCAAATGTGTAATACAATTCTTCAAGTCTCCACCTTCAACATCTGCCTGCCATCCAAGGTCCACTTTTCCTATGACCTCCAGTGGGAACATTTAATTGCTTTTTTTCACTCATAATCCTATTTTCAAGGCTAGGCAAATAATAAATGGCATTAGGGACAATTTATCTTCTACCTTTCTCTCTTATTCTGCCTGCTATTCAAATTAAAGGGAACATTGGTTCTAGGCTCTTCTGCAACTCTTATCCTGCCTCAAAGGAATAGCATTCCATCAACCAGCAACCTACAATATCTTCTCAGCTACAGAATATTGAATAACCAACATCTAATAAAATATTCAGTTTCGTCCTATACAAAATCCTCTTAAGGAGAAGAAGCTCAACAACAACATTCTGCTCAGACCGCTCCTCCCAGAGAGGCAAATGGGCAGAGGGGAAAGAGGGAAGGATCCCTTGAGTTGCCTGTGTAAGTCTCTACTTGCTTGCTTTTAGCAGTCTGCATCATGAAGTCGAAACCTTAACAGACAAGACATGATTAGCAAACGTTTTGTGCTCTTAAAGGAGAGTAATTATAGGCATGTGAAAAAAGAAGAGATCCCTGAGGTACTCTTCCTTGCATGCCTCCCGAGAGGCAGCCGGGCCATTAAAAATTCCATGATGAAGAGGAAAAACAGTCTGGGAACAGCCAGGAGGCAATACAGCAAATTAATACACCAGCCATCCCTTGGGAAGACTGCAAGAAAGCAGAAAACTCTCCTTGCTTCACAAAATAAAATTATACCACTAATGATAACAGTCACCACACACACAAAACTGCTTCTAATGATGGGTGTGAAATTCCCAGTGCTGTGCATACACTTTGAATGAAAGCTCTTCTCATCACAGACATAAATCAAGAAAGGTAGTGTATGATTTATACTGCCTTTCAAATAAGACTTCCCAAGGAACCTTCCACATGGGCTTGTCAGTGTCAAGGAGGAGGTTCCTTCACAATCCTCAGCTGCACTCAGTATTCTGGCCTTCAGCTCTGCTTAAACAAAAATACTGGGTTAGCAGTCTTCCAGATAAACTGCACCAAAATCCACCAGTGAGACAAAGAAAACAGTTCCATAGCAGAGAAAAGACTCCATTCTAAATATACTCCACTGGACACACTCTGTCACAGCAAAAACCAAGCAGAGAAAAGAGATTATGCATGGCACAGCAGGCATCAGGTTGAAGAGACTGGATGGCCACAACATCACGACCATTTCTTTTCCAATATGTTTCATATTATTTGAGAGAATTTGCTTGCCACACACACGCACATATCCCATTCTAACAAGTTGCAGAGCAGAATTTCTCCAGGATGAGGTGCAAGCTGTTAGAAGCTTCCTGAAGCACAAACTACTGAAATTGATTCCAAACAGGGCAAAAGCAGATGTTAACTGGGGCAATAGCTTATCTGAGCTTAGAGAGATCAGCTGAACCTCCTGTAAGAAAATGGACTACTAACAAGTATGCTTAGCATGTAAAGCTAAAGAACTACTATTAAGATGTTTCTCTGAAGGAACAATCTCCTTCTGTGCCCTTAGCAGCATCTTTACATAAAGAAAGTTTCTTGTACCAAAGCGTTCAATCCTTGCCACTTACATGGGGCCACAAAACACATTCATTCTTTTCACATTTCTTTCTCCTATAAAGGCTCTTGAGTACATCTCACACTAAAATAGGAACTACTTTCTCAAATTCCAGGCATTTAAAAACAAGACTGCATCTGGGATGGCACAATTTCTCTGTCAACTCAGTAACAATTCATCAGTGATTATGTTTGTCAGGACACCAGCCATCTGTTCATTAAAGGACGGAACCAAGCATATATCTTAACTGGTTACCTAGGCTATACACTCAGAAAAACCTAGCAAACACAATCCCTCAAGGTTTAGAAGTCCCTTACAAAGAGCTTGGCTTTGCAAAGGGCCTTCACTGACCATCACAGAGGTAGAAATTTTGCCCAGTTTGAATTTGCAAGCAGGATTTGTCCAGCTCACCTTTCTGGAAGACAAACTTCTATAAAGCACCAATTAAAACACTGGAGACAAAAGAAAGGCTATCCTAGCTGAAAATTAAGAGACCATTCAATCTTCTTACTTCCCAGGCAGAAAACATCCCCAGAGTGGGGCAAAAGCACAGAAAGGAATCAATTTGCTGATGCACAATCTTCTGAATTCCTTTCATTCTCATCCAGCTGAACATTTAAGAGCTGATTTCTTCCTCCCTCCCCTTTTCCAGCTTTAACATGCTGGCTACAGCAGCATGAGGTCATGGTGCAACATCGCAGAATTCCCTGCAGAAGCCAGTGGAAGAGAGGCTTTCCTGGGTGGGTGCCAAGCTTCTGTTCAGACACATACAACCTTAGTACATTTTTCATGCTCTATTTGCTAATTAACAAGGGAAAGAAAGCCATGAAGCTGAAAGTCCAGACATTTCTTTCAGATTGGGCCCCTGGTACAAGTACATAAGCAGAATTGTGTCCAAAGCAAGGGCTTCTCTACTTGCACAGGAAAAAGAGCTCAAGGGCACCTTACCTTTAGACAGTCACCTGCAGCACAAAACCAGGAGTCACCTCTAAGGCCAACACTTGAATTTAATTTAAGATTAGTCAGCAGAAGGTGCCTGAACAGTATATTAACCCAAACGATGCAGACTCAAATATACCTAACATCTGGCCAAACCAGATCTAAATTTCAGCTATTGCTACAGAGAGGTATCAAGCTTTAGAGGTCACCTCAGGTGAGTTCTTAATCTGCTCAGAGGGTCTATTTTAGACACTCAGGACAGCAAAATGCTTCAGCATGTCATCTACACCAGTTTGTCAGCATTTTTCCTCTCATCTTGTTCCAATTTTAATAGTGGGCAATGATACTATGTCCATTTGTACCTATCTAACAGACTTACAGCAACTCATTGCACATTTCAAAACACATTGCAGTTATTTCTAAAAGAACAGTATGTTCTGCCTGTCTGTCATACACTGTTTCATATACTGTAAGCACTTAGTTCATTGAAATTCTCAAATAAAGTGCATTGCTACATTTTGTGCTAAGTTTGGACCTGGACTTCCCAGGGAAAAGTGTGTTAAGTTACAGGTCCATTCCTGTTCAGATCACACAGTACTACCGAAGACATCCAGGAGAGGGAAGTGAGACAACCCCAAGAAAGCAGAGCAAGGGAGTTACCTGGCAGTGCAGTGTGCTGGTGAGCATCTTCGGTGGGAAGCATCAGCAAGCACATCCAGAAAGTAGAGAGGAGATAATGGATTGAACTGGAAAGTCAAGAGATTTTATTTAAGCAAAGCATTAAAAGAAATAAGTGTCCAGATAAAGCTCCTCAGATCTGTTCTGTTCACAAAGTATAAGGAGACTTTCAGCTGTCCACATAGTAGAAGGAGATCTTTCTGGCACCTCAACAGGCAAGACTAGATGAGAACAGACTCTCAGTTCAGACAAAAGGCTAGCACAAAGGGTGAAACAGCAAATCTCATAACCACCTTCTCACAACAGACAGCCTCAGCACACTCCTCTTCCAGCTTGCATTATTAAAAATGCTGGTTGATTAAGAGCATAAGTGCTCTATTGCTGCACGCCGTGAGAAAAAAAATCCGCTTCTCTTTCAGACAGCCTCATGTCTGCCTTCACATTGCAGAGAAAAAAGTCACTGTTATGAATTGTGCAAGCACAGAGCAGTTCCTGTATCCCTAGGGGTTGTGTGTATCACTGAAACGGACCTCTAGAAGACTGAGGTCCACCAGGTTAAGCTCACAATGAGCACCCAATTAATTCCTCCAACCTCACAAGCTGTCTTTGCAAACTGCTTAAAACAAATTTTCGAAACAATGCATGGTCAGGCTACTCTAAGCTACTCCATTAGACATACACTAGACAAATCCTGAGGGCATCAAACCTGTGCAGGACAGCTTGTACAAAATGCAGTGGTCAGGATTTTTAATAGTCAGGACAGAAATGGAATAATCTGGTCAATCAATGCATGGAACAAATTTTACTCAACATGTAAACAGAAGCTTTATACTGGTAGGCTCTCTGAGGTACCTGCTTTATACTTCCATTTATTATTTCCTCTTTATTTATAATTCACACCTCAAGCATAAAATTAATTTCCATCTGCTTTGCAAAGTGCTACACCAATCTCCAGAACGCTTTTCTTGTATTACTAGGATTACTGATGCATTTTTAATTAAGGAAAAAGGAGCAATCCACACCTATAGCTGGATTCCTCATACAAGCTGTCTGCAACTTCAGAACTCACTACTAGGCCTTTACCCTCCACCTTCCTGAGAAAGAAGATGCACCACAAAGCTGCTGCTATCAGGGAGCTCCTCCTGAAGTGGGACTGCTTGTTTACTGTCAGTAACACTGCAACTGCACAGCAGGGAGAATCACCAGGAACCCTCTGTTACTGGAATGGCTCATTCAAGTTCATTTAAGAAAAACAGAAGTTACTTTTGGTCATTTTAAAGCTTATGTAGTTACTCTTATCTTTAGATAAGAGTATAATTACAACAATATGAAAGCAATCTGTAAAATGTTCTCACTAATGGAAAACATGCAATTGCACAAAGGTTTGAAAATTATTTCTTGCCATATATGCATTTTTAGTCACCTGAAAGGGAAAAAAAAATCAGTCCTACTGCTCACCAACCATACAACAACTCATATAGGAATAGAAAGGAGTGTGCATGGCCAGGAGCACTGCTACAATATGACTGCTCAAATGGAAGAATTTTTTTTTTTGCTCTTTGTTATCAAGAACCTGAGCTTTTATATCTTAAAGTAAAAAAAATCTCCTACCACTGAAGCTTAGAAAGACTTACTGGAGAATATAAAAGTGCACACACAAGAGTTTCAGTTACAAGAATGCCTATTTCTCTTGCTTATCACCTCTTACATTTTCCTGCTATTTAACTACATTTTGCAGCTATTTAACTACAAAACTTAAGCTCACCATTTTTTCCCTTCTCTGTGGATGAGACTCTCAGGTAGAAGCCTGAGCCAAACAAGGCAAAACAAAGCATTTAAAAAGAGAATAAGGTTCCAATTCTTATGGAATTTTGAGAGGCCTAAGCTCCTCCTGTCAAGAGGCATTTTCCCTCCCACTCACTGTCAGAAAGGATGGCAAACACTAACCTGAAACAGGGAGATAAATAAAAGTATAAACTATGCTATTCAGTTTAAATAGTCAATACAATGCCCAGGAAATGGGCTGTGTTCAAAGTCCAGAAGACATGAGTAAACAAAACGAGAAGGGACAGGACTGCCTTACCTCAAGTACACAGGCCACAGTGTGTGAGAAATCAGAAGCCAGCACTGTGTCCTTTCTAGACAGAAGGGAACCAAGAAAATAAAAAAGGAAAAGCAGAGTCTCCTTACCTGGTTGCGGTCTCTCTTCCCCATGGATGGTAACCAAAAACTGGAAGGAGGCAGAGTTGCAAGGACAGGTGGACACAATGCCAAGGAATGAACATGGAGGGGAAAAGGGATTTGGGAGGGTTTGGGATAAGAAAAGAAGGAGAAAGGAAGAACAAAGATGGAGAGAGAAGGAAAAAGATTAAACATCATCAGGAGTCATATTAAAAACAACGAATTTCATATCCAAGGAAGAAAATAAGGTATTAACAGCTGGTGAAGGCTGGATCCACTGCACTACAGTCAAGACATGCCATCCTTACCTACCCATTCCCCAGAACAGCATTAGGGAGATACCAAAGGATAAGCACCAAGACTATTTCCAGTGCTGACTACAATTTAAATGCGCTAATTGTGGAAGGAGACATAACACCAAAGAAAGAAGAAGTAATTTCACAGCTGCCTTGTCAGCATCATTTCTGCAGTCTGGGTATGCACCCATAGTACAGCTCCACAAAGAAGCATTTTAAAAAATGAACATTTGGGGCTCAGTCTTCTCTTAATGTCCAACAGATCTGCAATTACTGCAATGGCACACTATAAGGGAGGATAAAAAAAAAAGCTGACTGTAAAAAACGAGCATTTGAGTAGCATCCACACACTGGGGCAGCCTTATATAAACATATACATATAACAAAGGGGAAGTCAGCAATTACAAGTAAGAAAACAGAGCAACTATCAGTAGAATACTGTCTCCCATTCCACAGGTTATGCTTAATTGTCCACCCAGCTTTTCATGTTCTTCACCCCCTGAAAGGGAAGAGGATCCTGTAGCTCTTCTTCCCTTCCCAAAGTTCTATACAACAACAGTTAAGGGCCTTACTCTTTCTGGCGTGGATCACTAACAATGTGACTTAGCCTCTCGGTGCCCAGAGTGCTCATGGAGGTCTCCTGAAACACAAAGACAGGCAAAAGGTTGCAAACCCTCACACAGTGAGCAGAAAATAGCTTGCTGCTGCCAGCAAAAACAGATGTTACTCCCCTGGGTCACATCCTTTCCTTACCAGCCCACTCTCAGCTAAACATGTTTACTCCTTCCTTTTAGAACTTCACCTGAGATGATTTAATTAATTAGAATAGCAGAAAATAATTCAATTTTATTTATGAGGCTTGTTTTTTTATTTTTAGTGATGATATTTGCTCGCAGAGAGGCACACCATAAACTGAACTAGAGCAAAGTATGCAGCAAAAGGATGCATGAGAGTGGGGGAGACAGCTGGGAAATGCTTCTTTCCATGTTACTGGGGTCAGTTGGGCTAGAAACAGGCTGAGATAGGACACTACAACGTTCTATTAACAGGGGACATTTCACCAACCAGCAATTAATAAATTAAGGAGTAAAAGCAGAATGCTTTTACCATTTCTGAAAACAGCAGTTCAGCAGCAGGACCTCCAGCTACTGGAGAAAGGCAGGTCCTAGGAGAAAGGGCTTGCTGTGGGAGCATGTTGCTTCCTGCAAGATGCTGTCCTGTGTATGTGCTCGATGCTGGCATACACGTGCATGCACAGCCTGAAGCACCAGCTGTTCACATCTGCATAGCAACTGCCTCCAAGAAAGAAGTATGCTTTTCAGCAAGGGGCTGAAGACGAGGGCAAAAGTCGTCCACAGGTAAGGTTTGTTTGTGCCAGGTATATAGGCAAAACACACTCAAAGTTTGGGGGCAGCTGTAGCAGCAGGGGTGAAAGATGGGCTATTTGTTACAGCAGGAAAATTATTAACTTAAAGTGCTATAACGTTTAAATTTACAGTTTATTACTGTGTAAATTACAAGCCGTACTTTTGGTAATTAGCAGCTCGCTGCCGGGGAGCTCTGAATGAAACTCATTATTTATGATTACAATTTCGAGAGAGATGGGGAAGGGGGAGCAGTGACCTCCACTGCAAATGACAAAGATCCCTTTAAGGTGATGAAGATGAATTAAACAAGTAAATATTATCCTTCTCATTTGGATCATTAGAGGTGTGCCGCCAGGCCCAGTCACTTGCAGGTGGCCTCGGGAAGCCTGTGTAAAGTCAGTTTCTTGCCAGCTGAGGATTCATATTTTGAATGCCGGTTACAATTAAGCAAGGTGAGTGGAAGAAAGAAGGGGCAGACAAGGATCTTTCAAGTATGACTGAACAGAAGGCAGCTGTCGCACCCCTCTAGACTCCAGGCCCCCCTAACACACCTTGTTAGCAGACTACAGCAGCCAGCTCAGAACTTATGCCAATGTTTTCAAAAGCACAGAGCACATCACAATAAAAAGAAAAGCCAAACGCAGCCAACACCTTCCTTCTCAGAACCATCTTTTATAACAAACAGCAGTGCTCAATATTCCATGATGCAGACCCAAACAGGTGTACCCCTCTCTTTTAGACAGACATCCGCAAAGCAGACAGACATCTGCAAAGTATTGTTTGTTCTATTAGAAAAAGGACTGATATGTTGTTCGGTGTATGCCCTAGTATATTAAAACTACTCAACAGCTTTGGGCAGCTTTGTCTGCATTTACTGCATATACCTTTTAACTCTCCTCTCTTCCCACTAAAAATGCAACTGCTAAAACCTCCTTCCTTTGCTGCCATTCATATCAGTCTTCTTCCCTATATAAAATTTGGCCTTCCTTCACCTTTGAGGCACCTCTATGCCCTTGTAGTCTCAGATGAGACTGCACAAGTCTCATACCATCATCATTTTTCCTTACATTCTGTATAAATTTTCTTGATATTTATGCTCCCTGACATTCTTCTTCAGGCCTCCTCTCATACTGCTTTCAGTGCTGATCAGCTGCCTTTGCCACTCCCAATGTGCCTTAAAATCCACTTAGTCACTCAATCATATTCTGACAGTCAAAGCAGTTAAACAAATCAAACAACACATGAAACAAAAAATTTACAGGACCACATTCTGCAGAAAACAATTTACGTGATATCTTAGAATAGTACTTCAGGGCTGACCAGAGTTTGAAACACAAAATGATCATCTTTCAAAAGGTCATACCTTGCCAACCAGCCTCCTCCGACCTTTACGGAGACAACGGGCAGCAGCTCCTGGAAGGCGATTCAGGCGAGCATGAAATCCTGAAAACCAAATGCAGAAAAACTGAGCAATGAACATAGAAGATTCTTCCTGACAAAGCCACCAGGAAAACTCCTTAGTTCAGTAATCAAATCAGATCCTCTGTCTCTTGTTTTTTAGTTTTGAAGATGTAGATATGCCAGTTTATTCACAAATCAAAGTCCTTACATTTAAAAAAAAGACTGCCAATGGGAAGCTGGTACGACTATTTCAGTAAACTCGCCAATTGTGCAGCTTTTTCTTAACTGGATCTTAAAAAAAAAAAACCTGATCAGATCACCAATACCAGTTTAAATGCAACACCTAAGAAAAGAATCTACTCTTGCCATCACATCACAAGTTCTCAAATACAATTCCTTTGGACCTCACCTCTCTGAGCTGGCTGTGAGGGCAAAAGGAAGGTGGAAACAGAGAGCTTGTCCAGGCCTGAGTCAATCCTCTCCACTTCAGATCGGTGATCCGCTCCCCACTTGGGAAGAAGGTTCGGGACAGTGAATCCTGGAACACACTCTCCTTCATAAAACCAATCACTTTGCTCATCATCTCCTAAAGAAATAGGATGGAATTAGCCACAAATAACATCAAGTACCCTGGGACAGTTCCTCAAAATACTACAAGTAGGCATATCTGAATGTGAAACAGTTGAAGTCTCATTAAGAATTCATTCTTGGAGAGCCTTATATTTGTATTCTGCTTCAATGATCCTCAGTAACTACAGGGCCTCACTAAACACTTTAAACTATCCAACTCATCAGTCCCCAGAATTTCCCTATAGAACAAAGCCTCTTTATAGACCTGCCTAGGGCAGGTTTAGCACTCTGTACCTACTGCATCTCATCAACCTTAGTTCAATGTTGTGTGATGTCTTATGCAGAACTCCTTCTCTGAAGTAATTACCGCAACACCGGTAGAGGCCAATCATTTGGCACATGCTATAGGCTGTCACAGGAGAAATTTCACAAGAGAAGACCAGGCTCACAGAGTAAGCAAAAGAAACATACTGATGAGAAAGACCCCTAGTCTCCTAAGACAGCAGCTAAGACAAAAACACATAATTATCAGAAGTGGTCACTCTGAGTGTAAGTACTAACCATGCTGTGAGTTGCTCTCAATCAACTTCTTAGAATCTCTAAGAACTACAAACCCTTTGGAAAACTAAGGCAGCAGCAACAGAAGTCATGAACAAAGTCTCCACGAAGCTGGGCTGCTGTAGTTAATGCAGTTGCAATCTAAAACTGAACTGCATCAGACACGGTTCATAATAAATGTGGCCAGAAATTCCCTGAGACCAGTGGCACATGAGCAGCGTAAGGAAAAAAAAAGCAGAAGGAGAGCAAAGAACCTGACACATGTAGCATTTCAGTGGCCCAACTCACAAATAGTCCCATGTAATTCCAAGGTCCTTCAACTTGCCTTAAAAGACTAACACACCTACCTTAGGGAAAATTCTCATTTGCCTACCACTAAGCCTCAACTCAAGCACCCCCACTAACTCTCCTTTCCTCACTGACTTACATTATTCCTGACCAAAGTCCATTATGTCTACTCACACGTCTGGCTGGGAACAAAAAAATAAAAAAGAAAGAAAAAAAGAAAAAAAAAAGAATATAAGAAAGTAAAAAAACTCATTCTAATAAGAATGCTGCGATCTTGCACATAACAGAAGAAGCAACACACAAAACCAACTCTGATCAACAACAGGGAGGACAACCAGAACACTTCATCCCAAAGATCTGACATTGTTTTTTCTGCCATGCACCAAGTTGACCTACCAGTTTTATCTTGAAGTATAAAAATCCCTTCTACATTTCATAGCAAGTTAAAATTAAGTAATGTTGAATAGTTCTTCTAAGAGATCTTCATTTGTGCAAAACTAATCCTAGAAATTTGGGCATAGTGCCCTGTCTACCTCAAATCACTGTTTCCACAAGACAAACTTTAACCATCAGCATCATATGCTAATATTCAGTCATTTGCACTGTGAGAGATCCCAATGTATGTAACAAATATCAAACAAAAAAAACACACTTTACAATTAAATTATGAACTGGAATCATTCTCTGCTCATAGAAGTGCGCTGGTATGTGCAGTTGAAAAGATGATTTATTTAATTAGCAACAGTACAAATTTTACATGATACAACCTCAAAATAAGGAGGGAAAAACCCCGCATTTATTTAAGAATGCTACCAGATTAAGTTTCCCATTATTCAGCCTGTAATTGTGCTGGAAAACTATTTATAAGGTGATGATCTGTGACAAAAAAATTTTTGCACTCTCTCCATCTTACTGACATGGAAAGCTGTTGGTTTTTTATTTACTTTATGACTAAGAATTGTTAAGAAAAAAAAAGGAAAAGGAGATATTTTTTATTTAGTCTGAAAGTGCAACAATATTTTTAACCTTTTAACGTAACTGTAATCTAAAACATCCTGGCCAGAAAGCTATGACAGTATCAACTCTTCGAACAGAGAGAGACCTGATGACAAGGATGCCAAACCTCTTCTCTTACCTAGACAGGGAAGGCTGTAATTGGACTTGATAAATTCATCTAAGTCATATTTCTACATGTTCCTGTATAGTGAGCATCCTACTTCCAGTAACAGCCAAAAGTTAATGTCTAAAACAGGGTACAAAATCAGGGCAAGTATATAGGGCAAGCATATAGACAAGTATATATAAACACTATCCAGTCTCCATCAATCTTGTCTCAGGTGATGAAGTAAAACACTTCAGTCACCACTCTGTTTTGTCATCTAATAGACAAGTGCTCACTAATTTCAGCTCCCCCTGAACAATTATCAATAAAAAGAGAGGGCAAAAGATTCTACTTTTCTCTTGCCTTTGAAGAACCACAGTCTAGAAACAGTTATTTTTCAGCAACAGTCAAAGCTGGTATTTGAAATCCCTACTCTTAAGCAAAGTATTATACTCCCCTAAGATCACAGACTGGTCCCACAGCCTAAAATACCATCAGAAACCACATAAGCATGTTTGCTATGATGGTGTTGCTTCACACAGGTACCCGGGCCATTAACAAGCTAGTGGAAGCAGTATATCCTATTGAGCGACTGGTGCTACTTCCTTTAGCACTCATATATTCCCAAAGGAGATCTCATCCAAATCTTAGCTTGTGAAATGTGACAGAATCAGAGTGCACAGAATTGCAGGTCTCTAGGGTCACATTCCACGTGCTCCAAATGTAATAGCCCTCAATGCCAGTGCGTCTACTACAACCTATTTCACACTGCTGCCCTATCCCCCATCAACTGAACACTATGCTGCGGTTGATAAATAAAACCAGATTGCACTTCACACTCAAAACTCCTAAGATACTGTTTCTACAACAGACATTGAAAATACAACATTCAACTCATGCCCACAAGAGCAAGGAAAGAACATATATTTAAAGAAATGAGAACTATCATATATCACCATCATCTTCTCAGCATAGTCTATTAGGTAACTTGTCAGCATTAAGTAATTTTTTTTCCCATCTTCTCTTCCTGCCTATAGAAAAAACAACTAAGATTTCAGGCACTAATGGTATGTAGACAACCATTAAAACACCTACAGAAACAAATCATAAGCTCTGCTTTTTCATTATGAAGAGCTCTCAAATTCCTCTTGTATGTCTGTGCCTTTCCACAGTAATAGCTTCTTATATTGCAAATATTATGGATCTCATACACAAAGTATTTCATTAGAGAAAGTGTAGTGTTAAGAAAATCATACATTTGTAGCCCTCATCTCATTGGTTAACTTCTAGCTGCTCCCTGCCACTGGCTCTGTCTCTTTTCAAATATAGATCTTCCTTTGCACTTGCAAAGAAAGGAACTCCCTAGCAGCACATGAAGAAAATCACAGGACACCTGTTACCTTGGCGGCCTTCATCATTGGTAAAGAGGCCAGTATCACTGCTGCTGCAAACACTGCTGGTTTCACTGGAACAAAAACAGAGAAAAAAAACATGGTTACAATTGCAACAGGCACAATACAAAAACCACTCGGCTGCATCTTACTAGCTTCTCCAAGACCAAAATGTTTTACATGTCTCACAAAAATTGAATTTCAGACACATAACTGGCTCTAGAAAAGAACGTAACTGCTTTCTTTCTGTTAAAGCTTATCAATGCTGCATCACTTGAAAAAGAGTAGAATCCTGTACCTAGTTTAGTTCTAAGTTATCAAGAAGTAATTAATTAAATGGCATTTGCCTCAGGTACTAGAATTATGAACCTAACTATGGCATCATGTGGAATATTCACCAGGAAATTAAGCGCAGTTAAAAACACTGGCCTTGGGTCACTTAACTGAAAACCCCTCTAAGTTTTCTATTTCAGATTCCTTTTCCTCAAAAATGTTACACTATCACACAGCCTCCTCACCACCAACTTGTATTTTATGTGGAGTAAAGAGCAGCTGTGACATTTACAAATCTCCAGCTAAATACCTTAGCACAGCATGACTTGATCCTGCTGAACACAACCTTGTCATAGCATTTTGCATTGCTTCGCATTTCCTGAAGCAGTTAGAGAAGATTTAATTCTCGAACAAAAGAAGAGAGCTAGAAATTAATGTGTAGAAAGCTATTAATTGACTTGCAAAGCTAGACAAATATTTGTAGCAGAAGTACCTGCTCATGTCAGTCCCAAGCATCGGAAGGCTTTAATGATGACTGGAACTCATTCCTTGGACACTTCAGGCAGTACTTCCTCTGATTTAGCTGAGAGATACCAGGACAAGCAGAAACTACTTACTGCCTCCTCCCTGAGCACTAAAACCTTAGATGTGAACACCAGGTGTAAGTCAGCACTAGAATCAGTCCCCAGTCAGGGAATGCTGTTTGAAAGTATCTCTGGATGCCACTCTTCCAGGGAAACTGGATCATACTAGAGATCATACCAGAAACCCCTGATTTACAAGGCTGAATAATGAGGGACCACAAAATACGTCACTCCAAAGAACTGCAGGCACAGAATAAAACTCTATTTTGATAGCATATTGTTGGTCTTAGAAAACACACTCTAAAGTATAGTCAAGTCAACTCATCATGATGGATATCTAAAATTCTGTATCTTCATCAGCGTATAAAGGCCATTTATACTTAAAGGATGAACAATCTATACAGCATGCTCACCTTACAGCATGCAAGTTAATATCAAATTCCAAATTAATCCATTACAAAGCCAGGCCATGCATTCATCCTCCCACATACACACCACAGCAATTAAGGCCAAGGACTGAGAACCACAAATTAATTGTTCATCCCAAGCTCTCCTACCACCTGACTGTATGACCCTGGGCCAATCCCTTAGCGTGCCTGCTTTCCCTTTTGATAGCTTGGATAAACAATCCTCACAAGCTGCAGATGTGAGGACCGAGTGACTGCTTCATAAGGTTTTTAGCATCCTCAGAGGAAAGGTGCCTGAGAAAGGAAAAAGCACTGACAAGCACCCAGGTCATATTAACTGTACTTTATAAGCATCGTGTTGCACTGAGAGCTCTTTAGTTCCTTACAGATAAGCATCACTGCCAGTGCTTTACAGGAACAAACTTTTAGGGATTTCACCCTCTTCACTACCCCTTTTACACTGCAGGGCTGAACACGAACTAGACTCCTATGCAGGCCTTTCTGTAGGTCCAGTAAGCACTGATTAATGACCTCCACTTGCAAAGGAGGCTACTTACCTTAACCATGAAATAATGAATGCTATTGATCCGACAAGCTACTACTATAGAGGGTTATTGATCACCCAATCTTTGGTTAAAATGGTCCTCATTTAGCAATTTCACTGTCGCAAACACCTGAAGCAAAGCATGCTTATAATTAAATAGTTTGGGGGAGTTAAACTGAGAGGTGATGGACAGAGATCTCAGGTTTCCCCCATTTATTCTTTTGCCTGAGCTATTGTTTGTGTCAGGAGGGATATTGATTTTCTATAAAAATAAGAAAACAAGAGGCACCGAGGGGCTGCAGAAGGTCAGGCTGGGCTGGAAAAGGAGGGGAAGCAGAACACTCTGTCTTTGTCACTTGCCTTCCAAGACAGGAATTATTTTATTTTTTTTTTATGGAGAGACTGGCCTCCAATTCATCAGCTTAGCCAGACTCATGAATGCAACTGCAGACTGTCATCATAGTAGCTCCCTTCCAAAGGGTAAAGCAACTTAACTGCACATTCAGGATGAGCGATGGTCACATTCTTACGCCAGAACATTGTACTGGTTTTGGCTGGCACACAGTTAAATTTTCTCATAGCAGCACTTTGGTTCTATGTTTTGGATTTGTGATCAGTGTTGATAGCACAGGGACGTTTTAGTTATTGCTGGGCAGCACTTACACAGTGCCAAGGCTTTCTCACACTGCCCTGCCAGTGAGCAGGCTGGGAGTGCACAAGAAGATGGGAGGTACACAGGCTGGACAGCTGACCCTGGCTGACCACACTGATATCCTACATCAGATAATGTCATGCTTAGCAATAAAAGCTGGGAAAAAGAAGAATGAAGCCGGGGACATTTGGAGTTGTGGTGTTTGTCTTCCCAAATAATGTTACAAATGATGGAGTTCTGCATTCTTGGAGATGGCTGAACACCTGCCTGCTGATAGGAAATAGTGAATTCCTTATTTTGCTTTGCTTCCGCACTATAGCTTTTGCTTTACCTACTAAATCAACTTTACCTAAAGCTGAAGAGCTTTTACACTTTTAGTCTTCCGTTCTTCTCCCTCATCCCCACAGGGGAGTGAGCAGGTGGCGTTATGGAGCTGAGCTGCCTATCCAGGTTAAACCACAACCAATACATCAGCATTAAGCCAGTGAAATCTCACAGCATTGGTGGAGCAGTAGAATCCCAAGTTTGAAAAAGTCACAGAGTTTTGGTTCTTGAAAACAGATGAGACCAACTGCATACTTTTTCCCAAGTAAACACACTACTCAAAGTGATTTTTAGACAGCTCTTGTACTATGGTTTGTTCTGCCCTCAAACCAAACCCAGAACATTCTGGAAGTGCTCAGTTTAGATCAAAAAGAGAGAAAACTTCAGCACTCAATATATAATTTGCCTTTGTTTTATTATGGCTGCAGGGAATCTCAAAACATTTAGGGACAGAAAGGCATATTACTTCTAACAGTCGTAGCAGCTAATTGTCACCTTTACACAAATGACTGCTTAAACTAAAACTTGTTTCCTTTGTTGTTTCCACAGTTATTTATAGATTAGGCATTGGGTCATGTCATTACCCAATTCAGAACCATCATCATTTCCTTACTGTGTTCCTGCACATCCATCCTTCTCTGAATTTATGTTCATCTTTTGCTATGTTTGGCAAACAATTTCAAAGATTTCATTATATGTACACTTGGATCACAATACTGCAGCTCATCTTCCTCCAGGAAAGGACTGGACATAGTCCCAGAAGCAAACTAGAAAAAAACCTTTTTCCTTGTTAAGAACCTATATCCAAGACTTTTTCAGCGAATGGGAGTTCATCAACTGAATAAACAGGTCTTTGACCTGACTTAGGATAGGAAGCCTTGTAGAAAGCAGAGAAAATATAGGATATTTCAGCATTTACAGATTCATTCCTAAACCAAGAAATTGTCAGTGTAGGGGAGGAAAAATAAGTTTAAAAAAACAAATCCATTCTGAATACAGAACTTAGCTTGCCTGAAAACCCACTTCATTTTGTCACGTTCCATATTGTTAGAGGAGTGAACAGTAGTGGAACCAGTTCAGTATGAAAGTTTTGTAAATCACCAGATCACCACAGATTGCTTACAAGTCCCACAAGCAGCATCAGTCACCTTTCATCCCATCAGCTTGTGATGACAACCACACCATTTGCTCTCCCAGGCATCCAATTTTCTTCTCCTTTCCTCAGGATATGCCCTTGTCATACATCTGTGAAAAGTACTTCCCTCACTGTACCAGAAAAAACAGCTAGAGCACAGTGGGAGTGAGGCAGACACAGGCAGTTTCACAGCAAAGGGCTATATTTAGAGCAGCAGAGACCAAAGCATGATCCTTCACTGCTGTGAGGGATACTCTGCAGTGAAGAGGGCTGTATATATTACTCCCTCCAACTGTGGCCCTCCCTAGTGAGTCACAGCACAGATCACACATGTGGTGTTGGAGAGGTCAAATATTCCAAGCACTAGCTTTCCAGAGAGAATCCCAAGTATTTGGCAGCAGATGGTAAGTGTCATTTGATGCATATACTTGCACAATAATTAGTCTGAGAGCAAGGGACAACTGAGACAGAACAAAGCCATCTCCCAGCATGGTCCTCAAGTAACAGTCTGGACATAGCTCTTTATTTACTCTTTCCAAGGCTGGCACAAATAAAGGCTGGATGAAAGCCTGCTGGTTTAAGTTCAAGTCTGACATGATGGAACAGACTCTGACTGGTGTTAAAAAAACCAACTCAAGGAACACTGTCCATCACTGCCACATCTAGTAAGGGTATCTCTCAGTCCATCACCACTGACATGCACTATTCAGGAGCTGCTTAGCACACTTCTTTTCCTGGACTACTAGCAAACAGCTCTAAGAAGATAAAACTACTCTAACAACTAGCAACAAAAGGTTTCCATCCACAAGTTTCTTGTAAAGCCCCACCTCACACCCACTTTTTAGGAATAACAGCCACTCTTAAAAGAAAAAAGTGACCACTCTGTAAGAGTTACATGCTATAAATCACAACTGACCCAGTAAAAATGCAATAGTGGTTCCCAGACCACAGTGAGGACTTACTATAACCTAAGCTTTTCACAGGGTCCCAGAAAACAGCACTGAGAAGTCTGCAATTCCAGCTATTATCCACAAAGCCATAGTAATGAAGTACCACCTGTCCACTCTGACAAACTGCAGGAGCTAGACTGTCACAACACTTAATTGAACCTCAACATATGAACAATCATATTGTATCAAAGAGTTAAGACTTTCCAAATCCACTCTCCTCTGATAGTGACTACTTCAGTGCTTGAGAAAAGAACATGAGAACATGACAAACAGACTTCTCTGTATGTTCCTCTAGCTTTTAGAAGTCAGCAGCTTAAGGACTTCCTGAGTGGGATCTTTCATCTGGGCTGTAATGTTTAACAGCCCCTGATATGCCTATGGTCCACATCTCCCTTTTGAACATATTTAAATTTTGACCTCTAAAATGTCCTGCAGTAGAGAGTTCCAGATCTCATGTTTCCTGAAAAAGAATGCTTTTTGTTTGTTTTAAATGTCTCCTCAATGTCTGCTGTTCTTACACAATGATAATTAGAAAATCAGTGATCACATGTGCTTTTTGTATGCCATTCATTAAGAAATTTCCTCCATTTAATTCTCAGCAGCTGCCTCTTTTCTAACCTGAAAAATCTCTTCCGACAGAAGCAGTTTTATGATCCTAAACCTTAGACAGAGAGCATAAAAGTCACAGTTGGAGAAAAAAATTCCCAAGGGCAACGCAAATTTAGACCACGACATTTACATGATTTATTTTAATCCCTTGTATGTGATTCTGCCACAAATTCATCAAAGTTCTCCAAAACTGGACACCAAGGCACCAGACTCCACTGATGCACAGTGCTTATCCTGTAAGTAACATAAGCTGCCCTCAATTTCTTCATCTTCTCACCACATTCTCCCCATAGCTAGGCTTTAACGATCAGATCAAGAGCAGAAATGTAGAACTGCAAGGAAGGTTAGACTGAGGTTCACACAGCACCTGCACAGAGGACCAGCAGTAATGATGGGAGATCTGATCTGTAATCTACCACTACTTAAATGCTGACAATAAGAAACTGAGATCAGCTCGTACCAATCATGCAACACAAGTGCCAGCTGGGGGTTTACTCCCAGAACCACAGGCCACAAGCATGCTGCAAGGCCACTGTCATTTCAGAGGACTCTTTGTGTAACAGGAGCCAGAAACCTATCAGCTTGCCAACTTCTCAAGGAAGCATTCTGGGTCATCATACAATACTGACAGGAAAGACTCTCAACAAATCCACATTTTAGAAGCAGCTGAGATATTTCTCATCCTCACAAAAAGAGCAGCATTGAATAATTTTAAGAACTTCAAAAAGCAAGGAACAGCATTTACAAGCAGCTGCAAGCAAGGCAGCCATCTGACTAGCACAGGGAAGAAACTGAGATCTCACCATTCCGACATGTTTTCATCTGAACCCTGTTTCTGATCATCAGCTTCACACTCCATCCGCTCCTTCCTTCCCCCGTTGCTGAGGAAGGGCCTGTTCTCTCCTGACTCGCAAAGGCCATGACTGGATGATGTCCAAGGGGCATTCTCTTTCCAGCGTGAAAGACGCTGTTTCTTGGCTGACTTGAACCTGCAGCCCCTCTCATAGTTCCACTCTGACACCCTGAGCTTTTGCTGGAGACTGGCAGCCACCTCTGATGTCACACGTTTGACTTTCCGTCGGCGCCTGAGAGGTCGGCAGGGCGCATTCTCTGTAAAGGAGTCTGACTCATGCCACAAGTGTTGCTTGCTCCTCAGGGTGGCACTAAGAGCTGGATGCCGTTTGACCACTGCCATGTCATCAGAGTCACTGAAATTCGCTGTCAGCACCTCACGGCAATCCTTGACAGCTTCGTCCAAGCTCGACTCTGAGGCCTCGCTGTAGCAGCAGGCATGTTCTGCCTGATGTGTGAAGTCTGAGCGTCGCTTACGACCCCGTCTCTTACGAAGCTGACGCCGCTGCTGCCGTGGGCTTAGCGCCATCTCTTCCCATAGCTCATCCAGTTTGTTCTGCTCTGAAGTCTGCTCTAAAGCTGAGGCCAAGTCATGCACCAGTTCATCCATTGGCAATGCCTACTAAAAATGACAGTAATTAGCACCAAATACAAATACTGTTACCAACACATCTCTGAACTGTAGTATGCTATACCCTTTGTAACATTAAAGGAGTTGGACACTTACTTCGAAATAACCTGGGAGGACCCAATGCAGGACAACTGCCACTTCTTGGCAGGGTTAAATCCTTTCTGCAAGGGTTAAATCCCTCTTCTAGTCATGGTGGCACACATCTCTCTCTACTCCAGCAGTTGGGTTGAGTGCTCTGTGTCTGAAAAGGCCTTAAGGTTCATCTTTTGTGTTGAAGCAGCATGCTTAATTACACATCCCAAAGGATACGGAAGCCGGCAACTAGTTTTTGCTACCGGCATCAGTAAAGCAATAGAGAAGGATCAGCCTGCTTGACAAACAGATTGAGTCTTCCAAAAGGTACACAAGCAGCAAAGCTGGGAGTAAAATAGATGGTAAAACAGGTAGTTTGCAAGCCAGCACCACTTCAGCTGTAAAGCAAGGCGCACGGGACGCTGGGCTCCTTAGAACAGGGTGTATGAGACCAAGCCCCAACTCCTACTGCCGGAAAATACCACCGCTACACCTCAGGGCTGTCAGTGTGCCAATCCTAAAGTCCTGGCCAAATCCCTCATCTCACAACATTCCTCTCCCTACGCGTGCCTTGCAGGCGTGGGCTTTCTCTTCCCACCGGGCTCAGAAACACCCGCACCTCCAGCCCGGTGAACTACCCACTGCCGCAGGCCGCCTCCCTTATTCCTCAGCGACCCGGCCGCACTGGCTCCCTTCTCTACGGAGACGCCGCTGCTTCTGCCCGACACGCCCCAGCTTC